CTTTACATTGTAGCTTTTAACGGTTTTAACCTTTTATCTAATATCATCTTTTTTTTTTCTGTGAAACTCTAGATAATAGGAATTTATATATCATTTCTATCTAATGATTCGAAAAATCAATTCATTTTCCTTTCTCGCCGTTCCGCAAAACCTCCCTTTGCCATAGAGCGCACGAAATGCGAATCTGTAAATTCCCGTTTCTTGTTTTTTAAAATACCGACTGGGGCTACCAGTGGTGAATTTATCGCACACACGAAATATATCAATCACAATACAACGACACACACAATACTAGGCTATATCTTAACTTAACCCACGTCATGACAGACGGCTCCCTAACCCTAAGCTCAATGGGGAACTAAATAGCTTTTTTGGTGGTGAAGGGAAGATGACGATGAAGGAGTTTAAGTTTAAGCCAAAAATTACTAAAAACTAAAACAATTACCAGTTATTCTAAAAAGATTTCATTCTATTTTTTTTTGATTTCTATTGAACATTACCAATCTTTTACTTACCGTAAATACTGTAATAGTACCCCCATAATGAGGGTGCGGATTGTTGCGTAGTCTAGCTTTGAACGAGTTTTTCTTGACACTGGTTTATGCTACAATGTGCGTTTATTTATCAAAAAATAGCCCTGAATTTCAGCTATTTTTTGATACCAAAGACGCATTTTTTGAAAGTACGGGCGCTTTGAAAAAATACTAAAAAATGAAATACTAAAAACCTGTGCGATTACGCGACTGTACGAGGCCGGTGGAGTACTATTACAATATTTACGGTATCCATTTTAATAAAACTATATGATAAAAGTGAAATGAAAGCCATATGTTTAAACTTTTTGATTAAATGCAGAAACCTGAACTTTTAAAAACTATACCATTGAATTGAGCATCTTTTTTAAACTTTTAAAAAAAAGCTTTTTTTGAAATATTTGCTTGAACTCTAATCATAAACGATCTTTTTAAGGTCTACAGGGAGTTCATTAATTGAGCTAAAAATTAAACTCAGATCTAGAGTTTTTGAAAAAATCATCGCACATTTGAGACCCCGCCTACGCCCCTTTTCCCATTGACAATCTAACTTTGAGCTCAAATATCTTGGTGTTGGGCTTTTCAATTTAAATATTTTTAATATCATTAGATTCACCAATTCTTTCTCTGTCGATTGGTATAAGAAATATTTAAATTGAACGGCTCAACACCAAGAAATTTAAGCTCAAAGTTGGATTGTTCTATGGGAAATTTCTCAAAATCTTTTTGAAGCTTGAAAATTGCAGTAGCTAGTCTTTCTCGTGTTTTCTAAAACGTGCCATTTTAACATTGATTACAGTAATCCTCTAGTTTTCGAATCGAGATTTCTATGGTATAGTTAGAAGGAAAAAAAGCTTTCTTCCCAATTCACCAAACAATTAGCCACCTTTTAGAAGTTCAGAAACCTCTTCTCCTTCTTCTTCCTCTTCTTCCTCATCTTCTTCTTCTTCTTCTTCCTCTTCTTCTTCTTCTCCTTCTTCTTCTTTCTCTCTTTTCCTCGAACCAACTTAACATCAAACTTTTTTCCCTTCCAGGGTTTGCCCTAAAAATTTGTTTTTCATGATCTCTTTTGCCAAATTTGCACCCTCTTTTTCGATTCGAAAAACCCCCAAAAAACTCGTGTTTATTTTCATGTTTCGCGTAAATTTTTCTGGGTCTTTGAAACTCTTAGATTCAACTTTTTTTTTTCACCAAAATTTTCGAGTAATTAATGCTATTTTTTCCTTTCCAAACCCACTTCCAAACAGGTGTTCTCTAAGGGGAAACTATTCGTGTTTCAAGTTAAAATTAAACATTTTGATATTTTGTAAAATGCTATTTTTAATGTCCAGAAAGTTTTGCGATTAGAATTTTTATTATCCAAACATTTGAATCATTTCGATCTTTTCAAACAATGAAAACTTTTCAAACCTTTGGAAATGCGCTTTGACAATTGAAAGTGAAAATTTTTTGAACTCCTTTCAATCCTTTACAATTGAATGGGAATTTGTGCTAAGAATTTCTAAAAGAACACTTTTTTTATGCAATTTTACGTTTAATTTGAGCGATTTTGCATTTCAAATGTAAACAAAAGACTATTAAGTAAGATTTTTCATTTTCTTTTGCTTTTCATTGCTTTTTAGTGCATAAGTTCTCAATAATATGCTGAGAAACTTGAAATATTTACTTATAAAATTGTTCTAATGAAATTTGGAACCATATTGGAACGATATTGGAACGATATTGGAACCATATTGGAAACATATTGGAAACATAATGGAACCATATTGGAACCAAAATTGGATCCATATTGAAACCATATTGAAACCATAATGAACCCATAATGGAGCCATATTGGAACGATATTGGAACCATATCGGAACCATATCGGAACCATATTGGAACGATATTGGAACGATATTGGAACGATATTGGAACCATATTGAAACCATATTGAAACCATATTGGAACCATATTGGAACCATATTAGAACCATATTGAAACCATATTGGAACCATATCGGAACCATATTGGAACCATATTGGAGCCATATTGAAACCATATTGGAACCATATTGGAACCATATTGAAACCATATTGAAACCAGGCACAAACGTGTACTTTGTGCTCTCAAAAGCCTCGAAAACACAATTTCTAGCGCACTCAAACTTTCTTTTTTTACACTATACACTAGAGACTTTGGTGAGAGGAGGATCAGAATCAGAAATCAGAAATACTGAATAGGAGTGTGCCAAAACGGGGTTGTTTCTTTTGCAAACTTTTCAACACAAAGCACAGCACAAAGGACTACTCAGTGGAGCGTGTGTTTCGAAAAATAGCAAACTCAATTCGATTTTTGTTCACCAAGTTCACTTTTGACTTTGATCAATTTTCAGCACAAAACCCAATTTTCCTTACTTTTTTTCCAATAAATTTCCAATTTCCCGAATCACCTAAGTTTTGAATGATTTCTAAACCCATTTTCAGACTTCAATTATAATTTATTTCCTCTTCAACTAAAAAGAAAACTTTTTTGTGTTTTCTTTAAACTCATTAGACTAGTTTTTTTGCTTCTTCTTCTTCGTCACCTTCTTCTCCTTCTTCACCTTCTTCACCTTCTTCTTCTCCTTCTTCTCCTTCTCCTTCTCCTTCTTCTTCTCCTTCTCCTTCTCCTTCTCCTTCTCCTTCTCCTTCTCCTTCTCCTTCTCCTTCTCCTTCTCCTTCTTCCTCTTCCTCTTCCTCTTCTTCTTCTTCTTCTTCACAAAATCTCAGTTTTGGGTCCAAGAAATTTTCTCCATCAAAAAACAGGTGAAGAGCAAATTTTTGTTCTTCTCAACTATTCTCTCTTTCAAAAAGTCTAGGGAAATTGGATAGACAAAATTTCCGCTAATTTCCCTCAGAATGAAATAAATTTCCCATTGCCGAAAAGCGATTTTCCTTTCTTCTTCCCCCTGTCTTTGAGCGAAATATTCTGTAGTTTTATGCTCGCATAAATCAACCTGAATCAACTTATTAGCTGAATTTTGTTATTGCAAAAAAACTGATTTTTTTTTGGTTTGGCTTTAACCATTCTTCTCCTTGTCACGTTTTCTAAAGTTTCAACTGGACAAACCTACCGTAAGCTTGCCTTTTTTCAACTAATCTGTCGCTTTTTTTTGTATCATTTTATATCGTTTGTAAACGCTAGACTTGCCTATCGATATTATTGATACAAATCATATGCTCATGTTTGATAAAATCTCAGTTTTTAGAACAGCTATCAATCTGAAAAGTGTTTCATTGAAAAGTCAATAATTTCAGCTTTTAATTGCAATTTTATACTTAGCGACTTTTAATGAGCACCTCATAAACCTTATCGATAAGTTGATATATTGATAAGCTTTTTAAAGCGCTTATCGATGCGAATTTCCTAAGTATAAAGTAGCAATCAAAAGCGGACATTCTTGGGCTTTCCAATGAAAAAAAATTTGCGGATTGATAGCTGTTCTAGAAACCGAGATCCAAACGGTCAAAAATGAGGTTGCCGTTTGTATATCTATATCGATAGACGATAGACGATAGACGATAATATCGATAGACGCGAGAATTAGACAAAACTGGATAGATAAGGCTACGGCAATTTGCAAAGATTGACACGTTTTAGAAAATGCATTACTTGAATAGGAACACAATCTAGCTGTGGCATCGCTTTTGTATGAAAATCTCTGAACAAAGTCGAGCGAATAATAACAAACGATTCAAATAAACGACTTATTGTTAGTAGATTGTTAGGTTGAATTTTAAAGTTAAGCTGTTATCGGATCATTTCAATCATCAATTTCAATCATTTCAATCATTCCAATCATCAATTTCAATCATTTCAATCATTCCAATCATCAATTTCAATCATTTCAATCATTCCAATCATTCCAATCATCAATTCCAATCATTCCAATCATTCCAATCATCAATTTCAATCATTTCAATCATTCCAATCATTCCAATCATCAATTTCAATCATTCCAATCATCAAGATCATATCTTGACTCTTCAACCTCTTAATTTGACTAAATCTTGAATCAATCAGCTTCTTTTTTTTACCCTAAACTCTAAAAAGCGAGCAAATTTCAAATTCCCAATGAATTCTTTTCGATCGTGTTGATTTTTGTTGTGAATGCTTCATGAGAGATCATGGAGAAAATCCAGTGCTTTCCCCAATTTTTTTCATTAGTGATCCAGAAAAATTGACTAAACATCAAAATTTTTTTTTTTTTGCTCTAATTCACCACCAAAATTCCCCTCTCTTTTTTTTTCAAATAGAATTCATTTCCCCGAATCGCCTCACTCATCAATTCTAACCTTTTCATCAAACGGACAATCCAATCAACCATTCTGTTAATTGATTCTAATTTTAAATTTTGAAATATAAAATTGAAATTTAGAATTGAAAATCCGAAAAATCCGAAATTTTACAATGAAATTTCAAAGGAAAACATTTTCTTTTTAGAAGATGTCGAAAGGAATCGACGGGGAACCGATTTGCGAGATGGACACCGAAGATGGATTCACTGAGGTGAGGTGAACGCATCAGAGCTGGTGATCTGGTGAAATGATTTCACAAATCTCTCATACATTTCCTCAATACAACTAGGTCTCAATTGAAGTTGCCCAGAAAAATAAGCCCTTACATTTGTAGTACTGTAGAATTTCGGTGCGCATTCTGTTCCTTCTTTTTCACTTTAATTACTTTCAGGTGCAATTCGTCTTCCGTGCCTATTTGATGCCGTTCACTTACCTTTTCGGAATCATCGCCAACACCATAAATGTCATCATTTTCTCACACAAAAAGGTGAGACTTGTCTATATAAAGATTATTCAAAAAATGACTTAAATTCACTATCTTAGAAGTGCTTAACAGTAACTTTGACTAATAAAGTAAAGCAATGAATGGTAAAGAGGGGAATTGAACCCTAGACCTTCTACTTCTGCCCCATTTAGATGCTCTATCACTGAGCTATTGACACCATCTTTACCCAAGAAAAAATAGGAAAGACAAGGAAGAGAAAGAAAGAAAGAAAAAAAACTAATTCATTTAATTTTTGTGTCTTTCAAATCCTCATTGACAAATAAAGTAAAGCAATGAATGGTAAAGAGGGGAATTGAACCCTCGACCTTCTACTTCTGCCCCATTTAGATGCTCTATCACTGAGCTATTGACGCTATCTTTACCTAGAAGAAATAGGAAAGACAAGGAAGAGGAAGAAAGAGAGCTGATTCATTTAATTTTTGTGTCTTTCAAATCCTCATAGAATTGTACCGAAAAGTAGATAGATTTGATAAAAGCTAGAGACAAGATTAGGGTAATTTTTGAAAGTTGATATGCTTTAGAAAAAGCATTAATTTTAAGAGGAATCTTCAAGTTTCTATAGTTAATTGTTGAGACTTTTTCATACTTTCATCACTTTCCAGTTACCATTCCGAGAGTCTGAAATCTCTCATTCCTACAGAATCGTTTTCTATTTTTGTACAAGAATCCCATTCTTTCCCATTCCATTTACCAATCAAAACATTCGCAATCGAATTGTTTCGCCGAATATCGTTTTATTCTATTTTTTTTTTGGTCTCCTAGAAAAGCTCACAAAAAACCGTAAAGAAAACTTTAAACTCAAAATTCCCAAGAATTCTATTTACCATTTCATAAATGTACTTTGCGGGGGTTTTTGAAAAATTAGAATTAATTGGTTTTCTTAAAGAAAAAAAAATTTCCGGCTTCAAAATGTGATCTCAAAGGGACAGGTGGTAGAAAAAAAAGGGAAATTCTTGAATTCTTTGACGAAGATTTCTTTGACGTAAGCTAAAATTGAGAAAATTTAAGGAAAATGAGGAACTAATTAATTAAGAAGAGTGATTCAGGTTTTGCAAAAAAAAAGCTAAGTATTATCAAATTGTCGTCAAATTGTCGTTATCAGCCTTGCAACTGACTACAGTAATCCCAAACACAAAAATCCTCATTCAGATGCGAAATCAGCTGGTGAATTGGTTTTTCCTTATTCTTTCCATATCGGATATCTTTGTGCTCTTCTCGTCCTTTTTCGTCTTTTCACTGCCCGTTTACGCCGAATACTCGGGAAATGCTGGTGAGTGAATGAGAAGGGAAAAGAACAACCGTTTTTACAAATAAAGAGTTGAAAGAATTGGCAAGTAAAAGAAGAATCCCGGAGAGGGGATTGAACCCTTGATCCCCTTGACTTTACACTTTCCCTGCAACGACTGCCCTAACCACTGAGCTATCCGGTACCTTAACCTGCCAAGAGAAAGAGGAGAGCACAAGGGGGAGGGTGCGAGAACGGCAGAAAGAAAAAAAAGGAAAACCTAGAAACAAATGCAATGCATGTGAAGAGCCATAAAAGCTTAGATTGTTTAGATTGCTTAGACAGCATAGATTGCACAAATTGCTTAGATTATCAGACAGATCATTAATTTTCAGAAAGTCTCCGGATATCGGCCGTTCTGATCGTCTATTTCTATCCAATCGCGCAAACCTCATTGACGATGTCAGTCTATTTGACGATACTTGTCTCAACACATCGATATCTCGGCGTATGTCATCCATTCTTGGTGAGTTTTTTCGGGTAATTCCATAAAGATTTATTGATATTTAACAGTGAGATTATCTTCAAATAACTCTTTCAGATCCGACGAATCTCGAATCGGAGTGTCGTTCGCGGGGTGATCATTTTCGCGATCGTTTTCGCCATTTCATTCAACATTCCCCGGTGGTCTGAGTTGACTTATATGCCTTGTTCACATAAAGACACAAAAAAGTGAGTAAAAATGCTAAAGGTTTTGAATTAAAGCAAAAAAGTACTTGTACTTGACTTGACAAAGACTTGTACAGAAAAAAAGTACTTGACAAAGAAATCCTTGTGGAATAACGATAGCACCATAACCATAGCATTCTTTTCCAGAGAAACCCTCGTGGTGATCCCAACCGAATTCATGATCGGCCCATGGTACACTTTGATTTATCGAAATGCCGCCTACACGATTGTCATGTTTTTCTTGCCGTTTGCTGTGCTTATCATGTTGAATGTGCGAATTGTGAACACGTTGAGGATGTCAAATCGGTAAGTAATTGAGCATTTCAAAATACCCTACTGGTAGATCTAAAAATGAAAGCAAGGGTTAGCCTAGGGTTAGCCTAAAAGTGATATTTTCTGATCGTTTTCATCAAGATCAATTTCCAGCCTCCGACGCCAAATGACAATCCAGCAAACGGCGTGCAAGAGCTCCCGTTTCCCGGGCATTAAACCATCGGAAACAGGAATCCTTGAGAAAAAGAAGTTGTCCATCAAATCCGGTACACTCATTGTTCCAGGTAAATGAAAAAAAAAATGATCTTATTGATTTTTGTGCTTTGAGAACGCCGTGATCACGGTGTGACAATCATGTTGGTGGCGATGACATGTGAATTTCTTCTCTTCAATCTTCTAGCTTTCGCGAACAATATGTTAGAGTTAACTGGAGCAACTTCAGGCAATTCTCGGATAGAGACGTTTTTGGTTGAGGTGAAGTGAATGCTTTTTTTTTGCTTTAGTCTTTCGCTATTTTCTTTTTTAAAGAACTTTTGGGTAATTCAAATAAAAGCTCAATGAATGGCTTAATTCTAGATCTAGATAAAAGCTCAATGAATAGCTGAAAATTCTAGATCTCCTCCTTACTTGTGAATATAAACGGAGCGTCAACGATTGTCGTCTACATGATATTCGGCAGCAAATATAGAGCCATATTTTTAAAGGTATCTTTTAAAGAATATCGAAATCTTTCTAAAAAAAACCGCTCACAAATGCAAAATGAAACTGAAAATTCAACTCAACTCAACTCAAAATAGGCGAAAACGACGAGCAAACACTTGAAACCATTGGACGCTCAAAAAGACGGTAAAGAGACGAGCAAAATCTGTCCATAAGAGATTCACTAACCAAATCCATGTCCAACAATTGAATGACTCTTCAAACAAAGAGATTCACTAACCATGTCCAACAATTGAATGACTCTTCAAACAAACAACATGTGTTCTCCTGTTTTCTTTACTTTCTCATCGAAAATCTCGAAAGATTCACCTCGGACTTTGTGCTCAACTAAACGCACACTTTCTGGCACGCATTTGTGCCAGAGCGCATGCGTTTCAGCTCAAAGAACAGGCGATTTTCTGTAATGCTACTCAGAACTCAAGAGCTCTGTACTTCTTGGTATCATTCTTGCTCCTGTCAAAAAAAGAAATCGACTTTTTAAGACGATTTACTCTCCTTTCCATTTATTGATTTTAAAAAAATAGCTCTTCAAAAGCGATTATTTTTCATTTTCAGTGGATCGCCGGCTCAAAATTCACCCGTTTGGCCGTTCAAGCCGGTGCCCCGTCATTCTTCTCATTGGGTCCAAATGAGACGACACAACTCATCACAAATGCATCCACATATGATCGAACGAGAGGCAGAAGGTAGAGAAAGATTTCTATGTTCATTCTAACTCCAAATTATAGCTGAAATGATTTTACTAACGAAATAAACTACAGGGTGACACAAAAGTTCGAAACCACGTTAAATTCAGCTTTTTAAGATGCCAAAAAAAACTATCCAATACTGAATTTTCGTATTTCTTATAAAAGTTTTTAATTATAGCAAGTTTATGTTAAATTTAAGGCTTTACTGTATCCGAAATTAGCATTTTGATATCCCATATTCTTTACTGCATTTCTCTAAATGAATCCCGTAGAAGAAGTTCAAAGAATTTTCAGATGACAGCAATGGCTGTATCAAGGTCGTATCAGGGCCCCATCTGGACCCCATCAAGTCTTTTAATTGACAATATATCGCCAAAATCAACCCAAATGCCTAGTCGCTTGAAACTCTCTCAAAAACCATCTGAATTTTTTGAAATTTTTAATTAAATAGGTTATTGGACATTTGATAACCGCGATATTTGATAACCAAACATTTATTTAACTCTGCACTAATATCAGTTACCAAATGTCGATTATCAAATGTCTGGTGATCAATTAAACATAGTCAGTCAAAAGTAATCCTATTTTTTTTAAAACTCTTTCTAAACGAATTACAAAATTTCAGGTTGATTGAAGCTGAAACGCAAAAATTATATCTTTAAAAAGTTAGCGAATCGTAATCGGATTTAACTGTTATATTTAAGTTTTAATTATTGTTTTCCTTAAGAAAATAGTTTTGTGTACTCGATGAGAAGGTTATTTTTGCGGAGAGATCTTTTCGAAACCGAAATTACATCTAGATTTTGAATTTTTATCGTTTCCCGTCTCTACTGGCCTTAAAAACGAGGCCTTCGAACTTTTGTGTGACCCTCAAAATTTTAAAACCCTTTTCCAATCCACAGAAATCTGTAGTTTACAATTTTTTTAATTCGACGAACTGTAACATTGTTGAATCTTTAACTAACTCTAACTAAGTCTAACAAACTTCTCACTAACAGCTCTTAAAATAACAGATCGGTGCCGACGATCCGACCCGAGCGATCATCAAGTATCATAGCTGCGGAGGTAGTCGAAAAGCAAAACGATTTACCGATTCTCGAGCTTTTATCTCAGCAATAGCAAAGCATGATGCATGTAGAGCAATGAGCAAATTTCTCCTCTTGGCTTCAACCCTGCTTCAACATTGTCCTTAGCTAAAATCCAATCCCATTCCTCTTCTGGCTTCAACCCTGCTTCAACATTGTCCTTAGCTAAAATCCAATCCCATTCCTCTTCTGGCTTCAACCCTGCTTCAACATTGTCCTTAGCTAAAATCCAATCCCATTCCTCTTCTACTAAAGCTTTTTGCAAAATCTTTCAATTTATACGCTTCACTTCTAAAAGCCTCTTCGAGTTGACTTGTGTAAAGTTACTTTTTGCTTTCATAAACGCTCGCTTTCTGGCATTGTTTGCTTAGGAAACAAGAAATTGAGTTCACCAGAAAACGTGCGTTTGTGCGAGGTCAAAGTACGGGCTGGCTTTTGTCTACTTCATCCGTCTTCTAGTTTCTAGTTTCGCTTGCCTTTTGATATAGCTTCTCAAAAGTTTCCCCGCAAATCTAAAGCAGCAAAAACTTCACCCAGCTTGGCACAGCAAGATTTTTTGCCCAGTTTTTGAGTAATCTCGTATGATTTAAAACTAATCACCTTCATTTTCAGCAGCGAAAGTTTTCGATGCGAGAGGAGGCGGTCACTTGTGTGCCAAAGGTCCATCCGCCCCCCATCAACCATCACACAAACAGTCCAATCAACACATCCAACGCCCGCCGGAGTGTGAAATTGAGCATCGCGTCATCTCGATTGGGATCGATTCCCGAACAGGAATGCTCGACAATTATCGAGAGTGACAGCAGTAATCCGTATTCTTTATGAGCTGACACTTATGGGAGAATTTTTCGAGTTCTAGGAATGAAAATGTTGAACGAAACTATTGTTCCTTTTGTGAAGACTGACCTCTGCATTTAAAAGTTCACAATCCATTACTGTACAAATCTCTTTTATACGTAAAACGGTTCCGCCTAAAATTTGTCTTGCTTTCAAATACGGCTTACTAAAATCGTATCTTGTTTGTAAGTAGATGTATTGTTTCCATTTACGTTCTTCTCTTCCGCCATCTTCTCAATCACTTTCCCCCAAAATCATATTTGTGCTATTTTTGACGGGTTCACTGAAAACTACCGGTTAAATAAATCTTTGATAAAACATTAATTTAGAAAAAAAATACACTTTTCATAAAAAACAACAACTCATAATAACAAACAGAAAAAGTTTGATGGAGAGAGCAAAGGAAAATGAGAGAAGGGTTCTCTAAAATTATCACAATGAAAGCGTGCCACTCACTCTGCCCCTAAAATTTTGGCAATTCTCGATCAGACTTTCCTTGACAATGTAGCAAATGATTCACCAAAGAAAGATAAAAAGAACCGGATAAGTAGAAAAAATTTTAATTCTTCCACTTCTCCGTCCTTTGGAAAGAAGCAAATGACCGCTAACACACAGAAAAAACACCCAGAACAAGAGTAAAAAGGTAACCAGAGATAGCACATCCATTTGAAGAAAAGCGTCAAAAAGTAGAAGGACACGCCTTTTTTAGAAAAAATACTGAATGACCAAACAAAGGCTAAAGGGGATACCTAGGAAATAGATATGACAACGAGAGAAAGAAAGTAACATTTGGGCACGTCAATTTGTTTCTACTTTTTACCCCAAAACCATCCCTTGACCATTCCTGAGAGTCCACCCTCTTCGCCAGGAGCCGCTTGCTAAAAGAATTGAGATATTAACCGTAGTATGAGCAAGTTATTCTTCACGACATTACGGTCCAACTTCTCTACAAACCTGTGAAGCTTGTTGCTGAGCCGCAGCACCTTTTCCACCCTTCTTTCCGCCACCCTGAGCTTTTTGAGGACCTTTTTGCTGTGACGCTTTTCGGTCTTCTTCCATACGAGCCAGTCGAGCCGACAAATCGGGCATCTAAATAAGAAAATAGACAAAAAAATGCAGAAACGTTTACCTGAACATCATAGAAAGCGAGATCGAAGAAAACGGGTTTAGCGGGCATGGGAAGTGGTGCCGGTGGGAGACGCATTACCTTCACCTGGAAATTTAACAATTTTCAAATAAATTAATGAATACGAATCAAAATTCGAACCAGCGAGATTTCACTTTCGTCACAAAAATTTAAATCAACTCAAACCTTTTGCAATTCAGCTGTTTCCGTGGGGAATCGTCGCCACTCGTCCAAAGTCTCTACCAACGGCCGATCATCAATGACCGACGCTTTAGAAGAATCGGCCAAAGCTGATGAAAGACGTTGAGAATTAGCAAGTGCACGAGCGCTTGCATTTTGCTTGAGAAGATCGTCAAGAGCTTCCTAAGAATGCAATAAATGACGAATCTTTAAAAAACGAACTTTCTTCTCTGTGAAGTAGGCATTGTTCTTGTCCATTGCCTTTACCAACTTTTCGGCTTGCTTTATCCGTTCTTCTGCTCGAGTGAAGAGAGCTGACGCTTCGTTGGGTTTTCCAAGATGTGCATAAGCGGCAGCCATATAATGGCATCTAAATGGAAAATTTTTAATCTTTATAGCTTGAAAAGCAAAAGGTTTTTGTGCTTCCCAGACTTTTTGCATGGGCCTCCGATTTGCTCACACTTACCTAAATGCCCGATAATATTCGATTCGAGTGTTGTATGCAGATATCAAGGTAGAATCCCTGGCAGCACCATTAATCTCTTTAATCTAAAAACAAGTCTACAAAAGTAAAAAAAAGAACACAAACCTCTTTGAAAATCTCAATGACCGAATCGTATAACCGAAGAAGATCTTGCGGGCGATACTTCTTCTCAAGCCTAAAAACATAGTTATGTGCAAAACTTTTGAAATACAATACTTTGTACTCTCAATCATGGCCAAGTAGCGTTCAGCGGTTCGTGAAAGCCTCAAGAAGTCCAGATAAGAACGGACAATTTGTAGAATCTAAAAAGATAATCAAGTATGCTTACAAAATGTTAGCACAAAACATGCAAAGCTATTTCTCATATCTTACTTCTGTGTCAGCATTCTCAGCCGTTTTCCGTCGAATCAAGTCATTCATCTTATCCAGCGCATCTCGAGTATCACCCAATTGCTTTTCATAGAGAGCCATCTATAAGAATTGCTATTACAAAGTATTTTTACAAAAGAATACTTTTTCTTTAGGTCCCTGACACTCGGCTAATTCCTTGTCCGCTTGTCTCCATGCAAGGATCACTGCTCGAGCCTTTTCATCCAGCACAGTAGCCTGAATTTCGAGATTTAAGGGCAATTTGAGAAACTATGCTAATTTTTTAAGAAGTTAAATGTATGAATAATGATAACTAGTCATACATTAGTGAGTAATGAGTCAAGTTAACGTTTGAAAGCTTTTAATAATAATCAAATCGACGTTTTTCACCTTGTCTCCTCCAAAAGTAATCTCAATCACATCATCGGTAGAAGCTTTAGAGCGCATTTCAGCAATCAGAGTCTAAAGTAATATTGAAATTATTATAACAAGAAAATCGACTCACATCAATGCTTTCCGTATCATTAATCTGCATTCGTAACTCCATCAACTCGCCAATTTTTGCCACCTTCGCCCCCGTCTCCTCAGAATTGAACTCGCAGAGACGAAGTTGAGGCTGGATTTCACGGCATCTACAAACAAAACAGTAAGCGTATTACTAACCCACAAAATTACCTAGCTTTGTACAAATTGGTCAAAGTCGTGTTATGCGTGGCCTCGGTTAAACGCTCATAAACAGTACGAGATGCCTAAAAACTTTCCGCTAAATAAAAGACTCTTGTTTCCACCAAACCTTAAGATTTTCTCGTGCCTCTACCCATTGTTTCGCCTCGAATTTCACCATTCCAGCAAGATAGACCAAATAGGCCTGAGCCTCAAGCTTCGTTGGAGCGTCACACTGAAATGATTCAATTATCAACTTGTTAAAGTCAGAAATTCGCTGGAGGCAAGCAATTTAATACAAGAAGTAGCGTCCATTTAAAACCAACCCGAGGTGAGTTGCGAACAAGCGCTTCCATTTGAGTTGCATGGTGCAAAGCGCGTTTCAAATTCATCATCATTCCTTGACGACGACGTGACTGCGGATTATCCTCGAGGAAAGTCTAAAATTTATTTTGAACATATTTTCTTAAACTCCATGTTACCTTATCATTCATGGCCTTTGCCCAGCGTCGTTCACATTCGAAAAGCATCAAATGAAGAACCCTAAAAAATGGTGTTTTTACAATGAAACCTTGTTTGTTTGCTTGTTTTCTACGAATTTGCCATTGATTAGACTCAGAAAATAAGTATCTATCTCTTAAACAACCACTTTTCATTGGTGAAATGCTCCTCGGTGATCACTTTTCTTTCGAATTTTGCCTTGTGCCTCTTGACACATTTGTATTTGTTGGTGAGCTTCTCGGCACCACGCATCCTCTTCAGACGATCCGCACAATATGTCCTAAAGCAAACGATAATCATTTATTAACCATAGTTGCTTTAATGATTATTTGATTTGTGCTAGTAATGTAGAAATACCAGGCTCGCAGATTTAACTAAACTGCATATTTTATTCAAAAAAACAAAGTATAGATCATGAAAATAAAAACATTACTTTCCAATCAAGTGAATTGTCAAGTTAGACTCAAATATTTAAAGTAACAAACCGGTAGCGATTGTAGTCACCATGTCTCAAACCATGCTGCGCTTGAGCCTCTTTGATAAGCTGCAGAATCGAAACCGTCGCGAAAGGCACTACCTAAAAGAAAAAAAGTTAAAATTTGAACAAAACAACATGCAGGTACCAAAGTTATCGGCATTAATAAAGTTCGCGGAGCACTTTGACTTGACCCGGCCAGAACCTACTTTACGCATTTTTTCTGGTCTGGTTTTGCACTTTCTGGGGTAATCAAATACGCTTAATCTATTGGCAATACTTTTAGAGTGTTTTGAACAGTTTTCACTTTGTATTTCACACCTTGCCTCATTTTCTCGCCTTGCGGCACTGCAACAGTTATACTCCAGCTAGCTCAGGAAAAAATTAACAAAGATTGTTCAAAATCTTTCTAAAAATATCACCAATAGATCCAGAATGTTAGATTACCCTAGAAAATATGAAATAACATTGGTAAAACGATAGAAAAATACGATCTGACCAAATCAGATCAAAGTTTCCCCTGAGAACTTTGTTAGTATCAAGTTATCAACTAATACGTCAAAATTAAGAATATTTTAGCTTTAGACATAAGTTATTCACTATTAAATCATCAAAAACTGCTCACCTCCTCCTTTATGTCAGGCTTTTCCTCCATGATCTCATCCTCTGCCGGCATTTTTAGTTCTGAAAAGAAAAATTGAGTAATTGGTAGAGCAATCCAAGCGATAAAGACTTAAAACATCATTCATATAGCAAAAGGGGCTTGGTACAAATGGAATGTCGAGATATCAATGTCATAGGGAAACGTGTGCAAAAAGGGGACTCGTTTCGGGACCCGCCTCGGAAATACCTCAGCTGATTGATTATTTTCGGTTTTTATAAATAGTTTGTCGTCGTTTCGATTTGAAAAGCTATTTAAACGAGTTCATCAAAATAGAAAAAAGAATTAGCAATGAAAAATCTAATTAATCTTTTTATAGCTTGACACTCAGCAAAATAAGATACTCAGCTAAGCAACTGAATAAAAAGTATTTGCCTGCAAATCGAAATTTCCATTTGTTTTTGTCTTTCTTTCTCGCATTTCTTGCATTTATTTGTTTTCGCGTTACAAAACTGAAACAAAACTTTTTCTTCAGTACTCATACATGAGCGAGAGCTGCCATCAGCCACTGCCAATTCTCCGTGTTGATCAACCACCCGAGATTGCGATTTTAAGACCGAACACAAGGAATTGTAAGTGCTGCTTGGACTTTACTGAACTTGTTAACTGATTTAATTTAGCATAACAGAACCATTATCGGTAGCGGAATCAATTTTTCAGGTCATAGTGAGATCTGCCAAATTGCGAACTTGTCAAATGATCTCTCGAAACTCTACCTGAGCGAGAGCTTCAGTGATGTCATTTTGAAGGTTTGTGTTGTGTGAAAAGCTGGCAAAAAGTTTTTGATGAAGAGACTCAAGCAAGCGCATCAATATTTCAAAGATTTTAGGTTGAGGGTGAACGTCTGCCAGCTCACAAAACAATTCTCGCGGCCAGGAGCGAATACTTTAGGTAAGTAAAAAGAGATGATCCCAAATATACAATTTCCTATCTATTTACCGTAGATTACAGTCTTTGGCCTAAAATATCTCTCAATTTCAGGGCAATGTTCTTTGGCGGGATGGCCGAGTCGACTGATTCTTCAAAAGTGCGAGAAGTCGAGCTAAAAGATACCACACTCGAGGCCTTCAAGCATCTTTTAAAGTATGGAAAGATTAGAAATGCATACAAGATAATTCTAGCTACATCTATTCATCGAAACTGTCGCTAGAGCACATGAAAGAAGAGCTGGTGATTGAGGTGCTCGGATTGGCGAACAAATACGGCTTTGTTGATCTCGTTGAAGCGATCGCTGACCATTTGAAGGTGAACTTTGAAAAGACAAATCTCTAGTTTGTAAATAGTATAATAACAGTAATCTTTTTCTACAACAGTAATCTTTTTCAGTCAATCATTTACAACTCGAATCTCTGCAGTATTTTCAACATTTCCCTCCTATATGTGCTCACCTCGTTGACTGATTTCTGCTTGGAGTATGCGGATCGGAATGCCGAATTGGTGCTGGGAAGTGAGGTTTGTCGGGAGCATAAACTGATGCTAAGATTGGAAAATAGGGAATGAATCTCTAGATTTACCAAATTTCAAGCACCATATGAAACAAAAAATTCACTTCAGGGTTTTCTCCAACTTTCCGAGAGCGCCGTGCAACAGTTGATCTCTCGGGACTCGTTTTGCGCAAAAGAGATCGACATTTTTCAAGCGGTTAGCGAATGGATTAACGCTAATTCATCGGTGAGTACAAAAGTTATACTAAATGTTAGACATGGGCGCTACAAACTACAAGGTCAGACTACAAACGCTTGCAGAAAAGCGTAGAATAGCTATTTTTACAAACTGTCTTTACCAAAACATTGAGCTAACTTTGGGCTTTCGAATGGCACCAAGATCAGCCTCTACGCGTTTCTATAAACGTCTGTAGTCTGGCCTTGTAGTTTGTAGCGCTCATCTCTATTAAATGCCTTTCTTTATCATGGTTTCCACAAACATAACTCTTCAGGAAAGTGGCCAAAATCTGCTCGACGAGGTCCGATTGCCGTTGATCTCTTTGCGAGACCTTTTGGAATCGGTATTTTCAAATTTTAACTTAAATTTAGCCATTTCTAGATCCGTCCAACAAACCTACTCTCACCAGATGCTATTCTCGACGCAATTCAAGAACAACAGCAGACTAAACCAGCTCATTTAATGCACAGAGCTGTGATTGGTAAGTGATCTGTCAATCCAAACACACTCGATTGATCCTTTTTTAGTTCTTAACTTTTTTTAAAAATGTTTCTTTTTTAGTACCAAATGTGAATATTGCTACCACCTCACGAAGAGCCCAAGTGATCACCGGCGAGTTCAAACACGCACTCCTCAGCGCCGATGTCATGCAATACGAGGTGGGAAATTTGAAAGTATCAATTCTAGCTAAGCATGGAACTTTTATAAACTGAAACTGGAATTTAAGGGTGAACGAGCGCACACGCAACACCTCATCACTCAAAAACCCGCCGACAAAGAGCCGGGAATCGTCATTGAGGTTTCTGAGCTAAACTTTTTCCCTGCTACTTTCATTTTTTCAGCTCGGCAACCCGTACATGATCAACAAAATTGTGATGTCGTTGTACGAGAGGGACACAAGGTGGTACTCGTATTTCATCGAGGTAAAGCATTATCAGCTGTGTCAACAATTACTGTAATTTGAATTTGAATTGAATGCAATGGATTCCTAGTGCAAAATTTAAACTTCTAGGTTTAGGTTAAGTTATTTAAACTAGAGAACTGTACTTGTGTACTCGATAAGAAATACGATACCAATTTGAAATGAAAACTTTCCTTTATTTCACCGCGGTAAAGCATTATCAGGTTTTTTGACGAATTCCTAGTGTAAAATTCAATTGTAGACCCGATTTAAGTTAAACAGTTCTCTAGTTAAACTAGAGAACTCTACTTGTGTACAGATGACAAGTATGGTACTAAACTTACATTAAAATGTTCCTTTTCAGGTCTCAATGGACAACGAGGATTGGCTACGACTTGTCGATTACCGCGAGTTTCTCTGTCGTGGAAAGCAAAACCTCTATTTCGAGAGACGCCCAGCTAGGTACAATATTTAAAAAAAGGACTGTTGCTTACGTTGTAACTCAGCATTTCTAAACGAGTTTTCAGGTTTATCCGAATTGTGGGCACTAATTGCACGACGCACAACTATTTCACGTTGACCGCCTTTGAAGCGCTGTACACAACGGAGATCATGACTTTTGAGCCAGAAACGAAGATTCTAAGTAAATAGACCTTCAGTAATCTAATCTTTCAAATAATCAATTTCAGTAATCTTTCAAATTACAGTACCCGATGACAATGTGGCCACGATAAAAGCTGATGCATTGGTCGTCGATGGAGTGTCGAGGAGTCGGCACGCGTTAATCAATGGCGAGACGCTGGGATATGATTGGGATACAGGGTAAGCAATGGGCAATTCTATAGCAATCTTTATAATAAAAGATACAGTAATACTTTGTCTATTTCCTTATCTTCTCACTCTAGTTACACTTGTCACCAAATCGCTTCCGGTTCAATTGTCATTCAACTCCCACAACCGTATATCATCTCCACAATGCGTTTATTATTATGGGATTGTGATTCACGATCATATTCCTATCATATTGATGTCTCAACGAATAAGAAAGATTGGAAGACTGTTGTGGATAAAACGGGAGAGGCTTGCAGGTTTGTCGTTTGTCAAGAGTTTGTCGAGATCGGTAGATCCAATAATTGGATCGATTTATTGGATCGGTAGATCGATCCAATAAATCGGATCCAATTATCGGAATCGAATGCATATGTATAAGTAAATCAACAGTCAGATTTTGTACAAACTTTTACCCAAAAACTCTAGATCTTGGCAAAATCTGGAATTCGAGCCAGTGCCCGTTGTTTTTGTTCGAATCGTTGGCACACACAACACGGTGAATGAGGTAAGATACTTCTGGAATAATTGTAGTAAAAGTAAAAGGAAGAAAAACCTTACTAACAATAGGATAACAACTAACAATAGTTTTGATAATCAATGATTTACTATAATAACAATATAAGTAAAAACATTTCAGGTATTTCACTGTGTTCATTTCGAATGCCCATCAATTCCATTACCCGAGTTGGTCGACGAGGAACAAGATGCTGCATAGAAAAGCTTTTATTCTAGATTTCAGCCAATCATAATCTTATGCTGTAAACAAACCTGAAGAATTGTACTTATCTACAAAATTTGACTCAAAATTGTAAGCTTACCGGTGGGTTGTTCATAAGATTCATACTCTAATCTACTCTAAGTTCATACTCTAATCTAGACTGAATACTCTATATCGAATGAATCCCTAACCTGGACTGAATACCGTAATCTAGCTATTCCAGACTTTCTTTCAAAAAAACAACAACGATCGAGTATTTATTATTTAATTTTTGTCATTTATTCACATAGCCAGTGCAATTTGACACAATTCTCATGCTTTTCTTTTTCGTTAACTGAATATTTTATCTGCTTGCCTTTTTTTTGTGGTCATTTCTACATGTACAGCTCTCTCTTTGCTCATACACATTTTCTTGCTTCAATTCACCTTTCTTTTCCCTTTCTTTTTCTTTTTCTTGCTTCAATTTGTCTTTTGTGTTCCTCTCGACTGAAGCGTTTACTAAAAAGTTTACTATAGACACTATAAAAATGAAATAATAACAATCAGAGAGAATTGAATTAAAGAGAATTTAAAATAAAAATAAAAATAAAAAACGATCGAGTATTTATTATTTAATTTTTGTCATTTATTCACATAGCCAGTGCAATTTGACACAATTCTCATGCTTCTCTTTTTTGTTAGCTTAGTCAAGAAGAACATTTATGCACAGTAGTCAAAATTTTATCGATTCCGAAAAAAAATGAAATAAACGTTATGTGTCTTTCCTAGAAGATCACTTGGAGACGCTGGCTTTGTCTTCTAAAATGAATCGATCGATACAAACACTCAATCTTACAATTCTTCGCCTGTTGTTAGTATAAAATTTAGAAAAGTAAGAAAAGCATTTCTTCTAGCACACAGAACATTTATAATATGATATTTGTTGAACTTAACTTAATCAAAAATCTCTGAATCTTAGGAGAGTTTGTAACACTTTGATTTTTAAATCATTTGAATGAACTTTGATGTTTACCGGTTCAAATTCTTTTTCCCTTTCCCTTCATTCAGCTGGTGGATTTAAATATTTTATCACCCTAGTTTTGATTGGATTTTTTTTCTTCCAAAAAAACCCCTTACCCTTTTCCATTATTCCACCTGGTGAACACGATTGTGGTTTGATTTGGAGAGACGGGCTGGGTTCGCTTCAATCGAAAATCAAACATATTGAGAACATATTGACGATACGGTGTCGTTGTCATCAAGATCAATAAACAGCTTGGTGCCGAGTGAAAGCTTCCGTAAAGAGAGCAGAGTGAAGTGACTGCAAGAGGATGCGAATTAGTAAGGCTAATAAGAATTCCCCAACTACCATACTTCGGGTTTAAATCTCTGTATTGTGACTTTGATCTTTATATATTTAAGTTTTTATCTATACATTAGTTAGTTTATGTATTTATGACTACTGTAGAGAAAAGTCAAATCCTACGATTCTTTTTGAAAAGAAGAAACGTTTCTAAAAGATTCTAAAAGAGTATTACCTACCGTACACTGGTACAGAGTTTCTTTCTTTCTTCCTTTCTTTCTTCCTTCCTTCCTTTCTTTCTTCCCTTCTTTCTTCCTTTCTTTCTTCCTTCCTTTCTTCCTTTCTTTCTCTTTGCGAGCTAAAGTACTAAAGAGCTCAGTGGTTAGAGCAATTGCCTGGAAATTCAATTCAGGTTCAATTCCCTTTCCGGATTCCGGTACAAGCCTAGATGAAAGCCTAGATAAATCATCAAGCCAATTTTTCATAAATCAGCTTTTTCTTGCTAATTTCTTCAATTCTTTTTTTATTACCATACTCTGACAAAGAACTGACCAATATCCGGAATCCCAGTCACACCAAATGCTGACAACAAAGCTGCTGTATAAGGCAAACAACTACAAGTGAACGAGATGAAAGCCTAGATTTTTTCCATAAATTTTCACCATTACTCAAGAATTTACTTGCAAAAACAGAGTCAAGATCATTTGATTGTGAAACGCGAGCGCCACCGGACTCAAGTGTTTCTTTTGATGTGTCAACCATTTCAGAATCGTGTATTTCATTGTGGCCATCGCTCCGATGATCAACGTCATCGACACGCTCACCCAAAGTAAATAAAAACGAAACCAGATCTCGTTTAAATCGAAAATCAGCACACTTTTCTCGTCTTTAAGAATTGAAAGCTCGGGAATTGTGGTGATCTGAAAGGATATTGATCTGATTATAAAATTACATTCAATTTTCCCCACCATTTTCTGTGTATTTTCAACAGCTCCATCCAAATAGGCTAACCAGGTCAAAATTTGATTCGGAAACAAGTTCAAATAAATTAATCCAAGCCAAGGAACTCCTTTCTTCAGTCTTTCTTTCATATATCCAAATGAGAGAACGTAAAGACGATAGTAACAAGAGCAAAGAATTGAGTTGATAGAGGAACAGAAACCGGTAAGCCAGAAACTCTAAAGTGAAAGCTTGTGTTTTTTTTTGTTAATCTAAAGGATATTTTAGTAAGAATTAATCTAAAAGACGTAAGAATTTGTCGTTAAATTGAATGAATCTCTAGCGAAACCGAAAATGAATCTCTAGCGAAATCTCTAGCGTTTTAAGTTGAATCTCTAGCGAAACCGTACCGATAAGATCATCATCGAAAACTGAGAAAAATCGAATGGCGAAAGAAGAAGGATTCCTGGATATGGTAACAACATGAACGTCTGACCGATCACCGTTGTGATATCAAAGAGAAACGAACTGAACTGAAATCGAGACTTCTGGAGCTGGTAGATTTCACTTTTAAGAGCTGACTGAATTTAAGTTTTACCCTCTGAACACTTTCATTTCACCATGCCAGAGTGGGCAAGAAACTGACAAGGGAAGATCATAAGGCTGAGGTGGCCAAATGACATGAGCCATATACCATTCTCGCACATTTGACTCACAAGGAAAGGTCACAATGAGATGACAACCATAAGACGCAGAATTTCACGCTGATTCCGATGCTGATATCCATTTTTGCAAAATGATTTGTAAAAAAGAGAAATCTAGCCGACAAGTTTAAGGTCAGATTAGAGATTAAAGATCAAAAAACAAGTTTGAGATCATTACAAATCAAAAATCAGCCTATATAACGCTTCTTTGACTCTCTCGAAACGTGAGCTTGCGGTGTAGTGGATAAGGGTCTTGTTTCCAAAACCAGCTATCACTATTTTGCTCAGGTTCAATCCTTTTCATTGATACCAAACAAAATAAGAAAAAAAGATAAAGACAAGCATTTATAAGTAATCGATAAAAAGCAATCTATAAATTGAAATGAAAGCTCAAATTTCCTGGTGAAAGCGTTATGTGATGGATTCACAATGAACCTGATTTTTGGATTGATTTAGATGAGGATGGATTTTCGACCTGAAACTTTACCAGATTTCTTGCGTTTCCTCATTTTGCAAAAACGGATAGCAGCATCGGAATCAAAGTCGGACCGTGTGTCATTCTGATGTCATTCTGATGTCATTCTGATGTCGTTCTGATGTCGTTCTGATGTCATTCTGGTGTCATTTGACCATGTCCCTTATGAGTCAAATACGCCAGAAAGGTGCGCTTCTATTCTTCTATTTTATTCTATTCTATTCGCTTCTATAGAAAGGTGCGCTTCTTGCATTATCACGCAGAAATGGTGCGCTTCTATTATCGTGCCAGAAAAGGTACACTCAACTTACCATAATATTCAATTGAACGTATTTATAAATTCTCATATCTTGGCTCGATTTTCGTAGAATGACAAAAGTTGTGAGTGAGATGAGAATCGTGTCCAATCCACCCATCACCATATAGGCGATCGAGATGAATTGACGCGTTTGTGGGCTTGCATAGAAGAACATTTTCTTTTATAAAGCTTAGCTAGTTTAGCAGCTAGTTTAGCAGCTAGTTTAGCAGCTAGTTTAGCTAATTTTCAATAATAACTAGAGTATTACTTTTGTAATGATGAAGAGCTCGAAATCAGAATCTGTTTTTTTTTTTCTTAAAGTTTCACCTGTTTTCTAATGAAATAGCTTGTTGGAGAGTGTAAAAAAAAATTTTTATTCAAAAAAATTAAAAATATTATTCACTTTTTAGCGAAATATAGATGTTTATTGAAATTTGAATAGCAATTAGAATATTTTGTTTTAAAAAAATGACTGAACAGTCTTGTTCACTGAATAAACAACAGTAAATTCAACGAAAGAACATTGTTGCTTTCAAATATTCAACTAACAATTAGACTTTTTCATCATAAACCCCTTCATTATCTGTTCTCTAGTGAAACTGTTGTCAGCATTTGGTGTGACTGGGATTCCGGATACCGTATTCTCTCTAATAGTAGTGCGCACTACTATTTTTTCGAACCCCCTCCTGGACCGCAATACTATTAGAGAGTGCAGTATATTAAAGAGTTTTATCATTTACCAAAGTAAGACAGATATAAGATTTATTCCAAAAATTCTTGCAATTCTTTCACGTACTCCTTTGGCTCCTTTTGACATACAGTTGTGGGGCGGCGAGTTGACAATTTGTGTCTTGACAAACAACAAAAAGATGTTTTTGCACTTTGCACAACAATTTTAGATTTTTTGCTAACTTTTTCATGTGAAGAATAGTTAATAAATGAATTAAAAAAAAGCCTCACTTTGGCTTGCTTGAATAGCTTTAGAATTTCACATAAACATAAAGTCAAAAAGGTTCAGATGAAAAAGAAGCGAACAGAAATTCAAATTTTCGGAGGTGCACTACTATTTTTTCAACCCCTCCTGGCCCTACTTTGAGAGTGCTACTTTAAAGAGTGCACCTCTATTAGAGAGAATACGGTATTACTTCTTACTTCTTACTATAAAGAAACGTTTTAAACTACGATAGCTTACTTCTTACAGGATGGCTTAAAGATATGGCTTAAAGAAGTCTCTCTTAAGAAGACTTAAAGAATTTAAACACAAAGCCCTTGATCAAGTCAACCGCTTTCCCCCTTTTTCTCTTCTCAATTTCCATTTTCCATGATTTCTTTTACTGTGCCCCTCCTCAAGCTCAAGTCAATCCGAGAAAAAGCTCTCTATTTTCTTGGTCGAAAAGTTTGAGGCGGGGGATCGCTGTAAAGTGGAGGTGAGGCGAGGGGAAGAGAATGGGAATGGGAATTGAGGGAGAGGTTCAATGAGAAAAGAAAGGGGAGACACTTCTAGAGATCTCGGTGTGGACTCTAGGATCTGTGAACCGAAAAAACAAAGAGCAATTTCTGTTGTCAATTTTTCAGTAGACAACATGTGCATCTCGTTTTTGGGATTGTTGGATTGCGAATGAAAAAAAATGTCTTCAAATACAGAAGATTTGTGCGGTAGAAGTAAGAGGATCTTTTGGCACGAGTTCTACTTGAGAAAGATTGGCACGAGAAAGATTGATTCGAAATATTTCAGTAACCCAAGATCGGGTAAATAAACCGACAAAAGATCCTCTTACTTCTTTTGGCACGAGTTCTACTTGAGAAAGATTGATTCGAAATGTTTCAGTAACTCAAGATTGGGTAAATAAACCGACAAAAGTTCTGGTTTATTTTAGAAAAAACACTTGAAAGATATTCAGTTTTATTGCCTTTCACTCGGCATACTTTACTGAGAACTGAGTATCTTTAACAGCTAACCAATCCAGGTTTATTTCTCTATTTTCTAGTTCTGTTTCTGCTTCGATTCGTTTCGATTTCTATTTCTTTATTTCTTTTTTCCTCATAGCCAACTTGTCGACCATTTTCTTATTGTGTTCTGGTCATGAAATTCCACGAAAACCTTTTCTCCTAACACTTGTTCACCTTACCCTTCACCATTTGGTTGGCCAACATAAACCGACAACTGACACTCTTTTCTTTTCTTTTTCTAATATTCTCTCTTTAATGTAATGGCAGACGAGTGGCTCTTACAGGAAAAATCCCACATTGTGTAGAGCAAAATGAGGGTCAATCAATTCATGAGTTTATAGAAGCTCCAGGTAAGTAAGCTTTGTGATAAACAAGAACAAGGGTGCCTTTTTGCCTTCAACGTCTTCAAAATGGCAAACGAGTGGCTCTTACAGGAAAAACCCTACATTGTGTAGAGCATAATCATCAGTCAATTCATGAGTTCATAGAAGATCCAGGTTCATAGAAGCTTTGTGATAAACAAGAACAAGGGTGCCTTTCAACGTTCGTTCAAGTGGTTCAACGTCTAAGCTGTCCGATCGATATCCGATTAGGTAACGAAAACGGGTATTCTATTCACAAACAAATTAATTTGAAACTCGAGTATCTTTTGCACCAATACAATGGGAATACTTGACTGATCTTTGAAGTGATTTCAATTCTTGATAAAGCTTATAAACTTCATTCAAGAATGAGGCAAGCTATCATAAAAACTATTTGCAACAAAGTTATCATTTCTGTTTATCAAATAAATCATTAATTCTCAAATCATTTATTCTCAAATCATTTATTCTCAAATCATTTATTCTCAAATCATTTATTCTCAAATCATAATTTTCCAACACTCTACACCGAGACGGGGCTCTCTGATCAATTTGCGTAAAAAAAAAGAGGAAAATAATTGAAAAAAAAACAAGGCAATAGGATACAATTGAAAAAGAAAAGAAAAAACAGCTGAGTAACTTGATAAAACCGGGTTCAGACGGTGATTGTTTTGAGAAGGAAACGAGAGCAAAAGAAAAATGGATAGATCTTTACCACATTCGGCGCACATACTCGCCGCGAACGTCTCTTGGTGTTCCGAATGCCGACATTCCCGTCTGAAATTTGGCTTTTTTTCTTTAAAGTATTTCGGAGATAAAGTTCGGAACTCAATTTCTCCAATTAATAGTCAAACTTGGGTAATTAAACCAGATGGTTAAGTGGTTTTTTTCATTTTTTTTTTTGCTAAGACTGGATTTAAAATAGAAAAACTGGCTAAATTGAATAGATTAAGGTAGTCAGATATCATGTAATCCTTCTTAAAGATCTTACAATTCTTTTTATTTATCTTAAAACTCTTCTTAAAGATCTTAGATCTTTAGATTAGCTCTTATCTTGCAACATCTTACAACTAAATTCTTCTTACTAACCTGGTTGGCGAAGGTGTCCTCTTGTCCGGACCAGAAAGGCACCTAAAACTTGTTGAGTATTCAGTCAAACGATGATCTTCAAAGGCTTTTGTTTAGAAGTTTTCATATTAAATTCGAATCTTTCTCTCACATCCGGACGACGAGCCATATCTGCGGGCAATTCCTCGTGAGTCTCGTCCACAAATGGAGTGTACACCTGGCGTGGTTGTCCGAATCCGGTCTTTCCAGCCTAAAAATTATTTTAAAAGCAATCCTTAGGATTTAAACAAATCGCAATTAACCTGTGAATCGAGGAAATTGACTCCCATCTGGTAGGGAATCATGCCTTGCGAGCGTTGAGCTTGAGCGTTCAAAGTGGCGATCGTGTTGTTACGGAAAGCTCCGAAACCGGTCATACCACTCTGGTTAGCACCTGGAAAGTTGTTTACCTTCTTGCAAGACTGAAATATTATAAAAGAAAATAGATATAGTTAGCTATAGAAAGTTCTCCATTGAAAGTTCTATTGAAAGCTATAGAAAGTTCTCCAGCTATAGAGAGTTCTCCATCACCATCTCCTTCTTTTCACGAACCCTCTTTCCATCCAGTGGTCTGTCTCGAAGTTGAGCTCTCATCGTGTGGCATTTCTCCTCGAGTCTCATCCTTGTATCTAAGAAAAGAGTTTGATAAAGTTTTTATTTACTCACTTGGTGATCTCTCGTCGTGGCATACCAAAGCCAGTCATGCCGGATTGGTTTGCAAATCGATTGGTTCCCATCTAAAGTTTTTGAAATGAAAAGATAGATTAAGAAAACAAGAAACATTCTAATAATGAAATCTTTTCAACAATGAAAACTTTCAACTCTTTTCATTGTACAACCTGGAGGTGGATGAATCCTTGCGAGTCACGGTCTTGATCGTTGCATTTTCGGACTGAAAATAGTTTGTTGTTGTTGTTGTTGTTGTTAAATTTTGTTGTTGTTGTTTGTTGTTAAATTTTCCGAATTCTTCCCACCATCAACAATTCGAGGCATTCCGATTCCGGTCATTCCAGCTTGCGAGGCGAGTTTATTCGTTCCGGATTGAAGGGGAACGATTCCATCAGTGGCACGGGCTTTCTCCTCAGATACCTAAAGAAATCTGGTGAAGAGCAAGTCAATAGTAGTTACAGTAATCTCCATCTTACGTCATATACTACCAGCAGTTAACTGCTGGCCAATTTGGGTGAACGCATAGTTTAAATGAGTTAAAGCTGGATGTTTAATTGCTAGCAAATTTGACTAGAGTTCATTATTTTACTACTAAATTTGTATTTCAATAACTAAACTGAGTTTGAGAGGGGAATTCTCCCGTTTGACCCTCGCTTCCGACTCTTTGAACTTTTTCGTCGTTAACGTTTTCTCAAAAGATCAAAAATTTCAATTTTCAAAAATTCAACATCTTTTTAGTGTCAAAATTCAAGTTTATTTCTCCAATATAGAAAAATTCAGAGAAAATGAAGCTAAAATTCATTTTTTGAAGTACCTAAGCCTAGACCTTTGATCTCGCCGCTAGATTCCGTTTTTCAATGCTACTCAAAAACGCTTAAAGATTTTTCAATTCTGATTTGACAGGCCAAAACGCCGTAGTCGATTACATATTGTCGGAAAAAGTCAGACCAAAATCCCCACTGGGACTCGAGTTATGAGGTGAACAGACAGACAGACACACAGACACACAAACTTTGCGTCTTATAAACAAGATTGGTTCAGATTCTAGATTCTAGATGCTAGATTCTAGATTCTAGATTCTAGATACAAGATTCTAGATTCTAGATTCATGATTCTAGATTCGATATTCGATATTCTATTTTCCATTTTCTATACTTAATGTTCCCCACCTCGCTGGCTCCACCGGTTCCCTTGGTCTTGTAGTTGACGTCACGTCCGGCACCGAAAGCCGTTTGTCCCCTTTGCGAGGCGAATTTGTTGGTGCCCGATTGGAGCCAAGTGGACGCCTTCAACAACTCGATTTTCTTCTCGTCCTCCAACACCGCCAAATTCTCCGATTTCACTTTATCGATGACGTCACGAGGGGCTCCGAATCCTAGAAATTGTCGAAGTTTATGTTGATGACTTCGGAAACTTTTTACGCCAAAAACAAAGCCAGGCCTATTTCTTCTAAATGCTCTTCTGCTTACAAGATTATTTTTTGAACCAGTAGCTCATCGATTATTTTAGAAGCTCTCGAGTTCCCTATCCCATTCACCAATCAAATCTCCTACTCCAGAACTTTTGCACTTTGCCCAACTGTTTCCCGATTTCCTCAATTTCTGAGAAATTCGCAGATGTTTGGTGTTATCATTTAGAGCAAAATATCACCTTTTTGTGACTTTCTGCGAGATTTCTTTCACAAAAATCAGCTTCAGTTCTTCGAGATTTCCTCATATAGACAAGAATGCCCTTTGTCCTTTTTCCCCCCATTCACCGAACAATTCGGGAGTCCGGACGCGGAGAAATGGGCACACACAAAAAAAATCGGCTTATCCCTTATCGTGACATCCCCAAAAATTTTTCCCCAAACTCGAAAATCACGGCTTTTTCGTGTATTTTCTGTTTCGTTTTCCCCCAAAAATCTTGACTACAGTGTCCACGAAAGACACACGGGCTTTCTTCAAAAGGACTTTGCCCCTTAGATCTAAATACATACATTTCCAGAAGCACCGTTTGGTTGCTGAGATTTGAGGGATCAAAGACAAAACTTCAAATCTACATTGTAGCTGAACAAAAGCTCAAAATCTACTTTTTTTAGTTTTAGAAAATTCTTTCACAAGTCTACAGCAAATAACCTGAGAAAAACCCTCTTAAAGACAGGTCAAAACTTTATCAATTTGAATCTTTTGAAGTTGAAATAAATCCTCAAAAGTACTCAGAGTGAGGCCGCTGATTTAGAAGTACCAGTGTAAAGTACTAGTGGAAGAAAGTACCAGTGTAAAGGAAGTATCAGTGTAAAGGAAGTATCCCGTGTAAAGTACCAGTGGAAGGAAGTACCAGTCGTAAAGAAAGTATCAGTGTAAAGGAAGTACCCCGTGTAAAGCCAGTTTTAGATGTAAATTCTTTTTCGAATTCCTGAAGTTGCTTATCATTCATGTTTTAAGCTACCGAATGGTTTATAATTGAAAATTTTGGATTGAAAAGTTCCCCAAACGATCGCCAAACCCAAATAATCCTCTTATAAAGCAAAAAAAAGAAAATGTTATCAGTTTGAGTCTTTGGTTGATAAGTTTTCTAACTTATCAATGAAAGATTTCCTTAAGCTTATCAACTTATCAAGAATCAAAGCTGAAATTCTTGATCCAAATCCAATTATTACTATCGTTTTGAATGTTTTCAGTTAAAATTTTCATTATTCTAAGCAAATAAACTCATTTCAAAAAATTTCTACACAACGATGAAATTATTGAACTTGAAAGATTGAACAAAATTACATAACTTTTCCTTAAAACCCGTTTAATCCTTTAGGAGAATAGGAGAAGTTCTAAAATAAACAGTAATCAGAAGAAGAAGAAGGAGAAGAAGAAGAAGGAGAAGGAGAAGGAGAGGAAGAGGAAGAAGAGGAAGGAGAAGAAGAAGAAGAGGAAGAAGAGGAAGAAGAGGAAGAAGAAGAAAGAGAAGGAGAGGAAGAAGAAGAAGAAGAAAAAAAGAAATTCAATTTTGAGTTTCTCTAGCTAATAATTTTAAAAGCCTTCTCAAACTCTAGTCAAATCTCAAACTTTGTACTAAACGCTTATAAACGCATCCTTTCTTCATTCCTTAAAAGATAACATTGAGTACACTAGAAAAGATGGGTTTACAATTTTTGAGCACAAAATACAGTAGAGATCTCTTTCCCCACTCACCAGTCATTCCCTTCTGCGAGGCGTATTTGTTGGATCCGGCCTGGATTGGAATGATTCCCTCACTCTTCATCAATTTGTCCTTAGTGTGCACTTTTGAGGGTTTCCCACCAGAGTAGAGTTGTTGTTTCCTATAGTTAAATATTTCAAAACTGTCTACATTTAGATTGAAAATCAAACAGAAAAATCAACTCTTCTACTACCATTTTACAAGATTCTCTCTGATTTCTTCTCACAAAATTGTGCAAAGTGTTTTCTAATCGAATCGGGTTAGTGCAACTTTAATTAGGCTTTAATTACTGGATTTTCTAACTACAGCGAACTACAGCGAACTACAGCGAACAACTTCGAACTGTAGCTTGTAGAATATGTTGTCTAATCGAGCTAATTCTACTCTAATTTTATTCAGCCCTAAAAACTCTACCTGAGAACAGTCTTTGGAATTGATGGAACATTCTGCGCACGTCCCGGTGTTGGACTCTTCATTCCCGAGGCTGGTGGAGAGGCCAAAGAACGAGCAGCTGGAGCTGGAGCCTCCTGAAAAGATAAAAAAATACATTCACCAAAACGAGCAAGTTGCTACATGCTTTCGGTTTTGCAAAGCTTTTTCAAAGCTAGCTTGATTCAGCTTCAGGGATTCTCTTGGAAGGGGTTCATGCTTTGCAGTTAACTTGCCATTTTACAGAGCTTTACGTAAACGTTGGATGGACTGACGTTTTACGGAAAGTTTACCATTGTCTGCAACTTGTTTAGCAATCCGGTTAGCTTGTAAGCTTGCACCTATGATAGTTCAGATTTAGTTGAGGCAATCTTTTCAATCATTCTCTCAGTATTTGATTATTGATTAATATCAATGTTTCTTCAAAATCTTTTATTCTTTCTTAGCTTTTCACTTTGATCCCAAGAAAAAGAGGGAAGATGAGGGGAAAGGAGGCGAAAGGAAAGGAAGAGAAAGAGGGGGAAGGAGGGGAAAGAAAGAGAAAGAAAGGGAAAGAAGGAGATCTTCCCTCTCCTCCTCATTACACTGTGAATGTGTACTTCCCCTCCAAATCCCCTAGAAATCCACAAAAGAAAAGTGAATTCCTAGATCAAAAACTATTGATTAAACGGTATTGAATTTCTATTGATTTTCATGATTTCATGCAAGAGTTTCAAGCTGTTTCAAGCAGTTAACCCGATTTATTTTGTGCCACAAGAAACGCGCACTTTCTGGCACATTAAACTCTATATAATCTTCTTTGAAAAATGAGAGTCGTGTGCCAAAAAGCTCACCTTTACTGAAAGCTGAAAGATTTGAGCAGATTGTTATAGAACCTTTAAAATGGTTAGACAAGGAATGCATAACATTTCTAGCAACAGTAGGGAAGAAGCAAGCGGGGGTTTCTTTTCTATCATTAAGCTATTCGTTCTCCTACCCGTTCTTCCTCTTCTGGCTCCGGTTCTGGCTCTTCCGCCTCGGGCTCCTATAGAGCCAAGAAATTATTTAAAGAGGTTTCTTGTTTTGAAATGTATTACTATCAAATTTCATCATTAATTGCATAAGAAAGATTAGAATTTGAAAGCATAAAAGCTTCAAGATTCATTCTTCTTTAGATCTTCTACTATCAATTAAATACAGTCAAATCAGAATCCTATTTCTCATAGTATTGCATCCAATAACTCTTTCCTACCGTACCTCAGCCTCTTCAGGCTCCTCTTGTTGCTCCTCATCCTCGTACTCGTCCTCAACGTCCGACATGATTCAAGAATAAATTTGGAATGAAAAGCGCAGAGAAATGGGGAGGGAAAAGTGAGAAGGGGAGACAAGCTCTTGCTCAATCGGGGATCAGTGAGGGGAGGGGCTTCTCAGCTTCTTTCCTTTCCTCTCCTTTCTCTCCTCCTCTCGGTCCCAATCCACCTACGCCCCCTCAACCGCCCCAAGGCAACCCAGTGTGGCAGTCTGATCTTCTTTTTCTCTCGTTCATCTTTCTATATCTTTTCCCTTTTTCTCTTTGATTTAATCAATCGTTTTTCTTTTCATCCTTTCTTTCTTTTCAATTTTTCCTCTAACTCTTTGCCACTTTGATCAATGGTTGGATCAATGCTTGGATCAATGCTTGGGCCAATGTTTAGACCAATGCTTAGCCCAATACTTGGACCAATACTTGGACCAATGCTTAGACCAATGCTTGGATCAATGCTTAGCCCAATACTTGGACCAATACTTGGACCAATGCTTAGACCAATGCTTGGATCAATGCTTGGACTAATACTTGGACCAATGCTTAGACTAATGCTTGGACCAATGCTAGAACCAATGATTGGACCAATACTTGGACCAATGTTTGAACAAGATTAAGAAAAAAAAAACACTTTGTTAAAACAGATAAAAGCAATATAAAATTTCATTTCCAGATACAACAAATTTTATAAAACCGAAAGTCAAATTCCATCTCGAATTTGATGTCATTCAATTGAATGAAATCAAAAACTGAAAGCTTGCTTTGCATCTAAAATATTCAAAATATTAAAAAGTATTTCTTAAGTATCTAAAAAAGATAACAACAAAAAAATGGAAATTAGACTTTTAAAATCTCTTTTATCCCACGAAATGCTCAATTAAGATTGTTGATTTAAAAATGAAAACTTCTGTAAATGTAAATGTAAATGTTATTGTTCAATAATCATCAAATAATTTATTTCTTTTCTAATCTTTTTTTTTTAAACTATCATTAGTAAAAACCCGTAAATGAAATTTGAGTGAAATACTGCAAATTATGACAATAAACCCAATGAAAAAGAAAAAAAAGGAAAAAAAAGAAAAGTAAAGCTCGTCTCAAAAGCACCGGTCAATGGGAAACCACAAAAATATCTATTAAATCAAAAATTCACTTCATTTTAGATATAAAAAAACGTTATAGAGTATTTAAATTGATTATCAGATCGAGAGGTCGATGGGAAACTGATGGGAAACTGATGGGAAACTGATGGGGAACTGATGGGGAACTGATCGATTTCATCTGAAACTGATCTTAAACTGAGCAGATCAGTTTAAGATCAGTTTCAGATGAAATCGGGAATAAAATGACGAAAAGTGAATAGAGTGGAGAACTTTTCGAAAACAGAACTCCAGAAAAGAAACAGAAACAGACTTTAGAAAATAGACAGAGAAAAGTCGATTTACAGAATGGCAGAATTACAGAATTCATCGATCATCGACCTGGTCGATAGGGCATACTTTGACCGTTTGGTTCGATGATTTCAGAGAGGATGTCGGTGAGAATCGCTTGCTCGAGTTGCCTTCGCTTTCTGGAGACTAAAAAGTGAATGTTTTTATTGGATAACGAAGTTTTATGAGAGATAATATTAAACATAGAGCTCTTTTACTATTTTCCAGTTTTTATCACCAAATTTCACCACCTCTAGCCTTTCTGGAAACTCGGTTACTAATCTAATACTAGAGCTAGCACTACCGTATACTTTTAAGACATTCAGCTATTGTAGAAGCAAAGATTTTCATAGGATTATGATGAGATAATATTAAACATAAAGCTCTTTTACTATTTTCCAGTTTTTATCACCAAATTTCACCACCTCTAGCCTTTCTGGAAACTCGGTTACTAATCTAATACTAGAGCTAGCACTACCGTATACTTTTAAGACATTCAGCTATTGTAGAAGCAAAGATTTTCATAGGATTATGATGAGATAATATTAAACATAAAGCTCTTTTACTATTTTCCAGTTTTTATCACCAAATTTCACCACCTCTAGCCTTTTTGGAAACTCGATTTTTAAATGCCCATCATCTAATACTAGACCTAGGACTACCGTAGACTTTTAAGCCATTCAGCTATTGTAGAAGCAAAGGTTTTTCATAGGATTATGATGAGTTTTATAGCATTGAAGCTATTCAGCTACTTTAGCTTCTTGTTAATTAATTAAAACTTGCTATTGTGCTCAGTTGATCAAGTCTATCTTTTAGAATTTAAGCCACTAACTGAATTTCCTTTCAAACTCACCAATCAATTTCTCCAATTGTCCATAGCTCATCGGTGCCGCTACCGTAAGACAGACGAAGGCGAAAAGAACGCAAATTAAAAGTAAAAAACGACGGTTCATCCTTGTAGACAATGAATTTTCAGAAAAAGAAAAACACCTTTAGCTGAATACCTTCTAATGTTTTTTTGAAAGTGAAGAAGACTTGTTTTCAAGAAACTCCGAGTGCAGAGGCTGTCCATTTATAGAAGAATTTCCCCCTCGCCTCCCTTGTGCTTTTCCCCGCCCATCCCCTCAGCTTTTCCCTTCTATAGCTTATCACTGAATTGATCCTCCCACTTCCTTTTTCTTTCAAATACCGATCATATTTGAAAGGAATTAGCCTTGATTACTGACGTTTCTTGGAAACAATTTGAGTGCAAGTATTTTCGAGATTTATGCAAGTTAGCAAGAGAATTCGTCAGCAAGCTTTTGATTGTTTCAAGATTAAAAATCGAAAAAATAGAAGATGAACACGAATGCATAGATTTAAAGGTTTGAAAAGGTTTTTGGTTTAGCAGGACTACGATATTACATAGCGGACTACATAGCGGACTACATAGCCGACTACATAGGACTACATAGAACTACATAGATCTACATAGCGACTACATATCGGATACTACTGTAGGCTAAAAGCCAGCTCAAGCTTCAGGTACTTTTGCCAGGTTTGCCAAGATCATATTACTGACTGAATGATTTCTGCTTTTAACGATTCGGAAAGGCTTTTAAGTGCCCCAGGTACTTTCTGCTAGAGCTGCTAGCTAGCTACCGCCGAACCTTGCTTTTGTTTTGGCCTAAAAAACAGTCTCAGCTTAGGTCTCAATCCTAAACAATTTTACTGAAGCAGGAGACATATACACTGAAGGAGATCTAGACAAAAACTAAACGACACAATTTTTGATTGAATCATTCAATCTCGATGATCCACCAATTCCAAAATCCTTTCCGGTTCACTTTCCCGCACTTTCAAACAATTTCTTTTTCCTTTGTAAACACTCTAATAATAGTCTTCTTCTAATTTTTCGTGATTTCCTCCTTTTCATTCATCTAATCGTAAACTAAGCATTGGTATCATTAAATCCAAAAAAAAAAGGTGAGAAAGTTGATAAATTTCCGGTGAACAAAAGTCCAGAAAGGTAATCTTTTTTTGAGAAACACACTCGGTAAATATTGATATTCAGCCGGAAATCTATTGAAATGTTGAAACTTTGGTGATTTTTAGTCGAAAAACTTTTCGAATAATTTTAAATGATTCATTTTTGGCGATATTACATCACAAATTTGATTGTGTCACTTTTTGAAAGTTGGAACTTTAAGAAATCATCACGTCATTATTAGTTAAGGCATTATTAGTTAAGGCATTATGAGTTAAGACATGATTAGTTAAGGCATTATTAGTTAAGGCATGATTAGTTAAGGCATTATTAGCTAAGGCATTATTAGCTAAGGCATTATTAGTTAAAGCATTATTAGTTAAGGCATTATGAGTTAAGGCCTTCTTCATGGCCGGATCTCGGTAAAGACTCGGTAAAATCATGACGTTGTGTTTATTAGTTAAGCTATTTTTAAATAGCTCTCAAATTCTCTAAATTCCAAATGCAATTCAGTGAATAGAATAATGACTCATTAGAAATTTTGTCATTTTTTTCCTTTTTTTTTCTTTAGAATTCAATTATTTTCTTCTAATTTTAGCTTAAATTTGCCGAAATTTCGGTGTGAATTCATATTGAGCGAAAAGAGATAAGCTGCAAGCTGTGAGAGATTAGAAACAAATATTTTCCCGTTTTTTTTGAGTTATGAGAAGAATTTCACAAAGTAAATATTGTTAGAAACGTTAGAAATCTCTATTTTTCTTTACAGATTTTCTGATAAAAATAGCTCTAGTTGGAAAGGAATTTAAAAAATGTCAAAAAAAAAAAATAGCTCGCAATCATCTTGAGAAACTGAGTCTTCTCTGAGTTTTTTTCTACAATCGAAATTCAAATATCGTATTTTCTCTAATAGTAGTACACCCTAAGCTTTGCCTAAATTGCTCGAAATCTCGAGAACCGCTTATCAGAACCTATCGATGTGGGGTCGGAAAATGTAGCTGCCGATGAGTTCTAGTGGGGGATTTGAGTGTTGAGCTTCTGCAAAAGCTTTGGAAGCCGTAAAATAGTGATCAACTCGGTTCACCGGGAAATATTAGGGAAATAGGTCAGTCTGATCTACTAGCCTAACCTAGAATAATATACCGTTTTCTCTCTAATAGTAGTACACCCTAAGCTTTGCCTAAATTGCTCGAAATCTCGAGAACCGCTTATCAGAACCTATCGATGTGGGGTCGGAAAATGTAGCTGCCGATGAGTTCTAGTGGGGGATTTGAGTGTTGAGCTTCTGCAAAAGCTTTGGAAGCCGTAAAATAGTGATCAACTCGGTTCACCGGGAAATATTAGGGAAATAGGTCAGTCTGATCTACTAGCCTAACCTAGAATAATATACCGTTTTCTCTCTAATAGTAGTACACCCTAAGCTTTGCCTAAATTGCTCGAAATCTCGAGAACCGCTTATCAGAACCTATCGATGTGGGGTCGGAAAATGTAGCTGACGATGAGATCTAGTGGGGGATTAGAGTATCGAGCTTCTGCAAAAGCTTGGAAACCAACTCGGCTCGCCGGGGTGCACTACTATTAGAGAAAATACGGTAATTGTCAATTTTGAATGTCAAACAAGTTTTAAATGGCTGTATTGTTGTTGAAAGTTATTTAAAAACATTGAAAACTATTTTTGATGTAAAAATGTGCAACAGAAATCGGTTTATGAGCGAGTACGTCGATAGAATCATTGCGTACATTCAATGCAACTTAAACTTACGGAATTCTTTAAAAGACTTTGAAGTAAAAGCTTTATTTCTTAAGTTATCTTCTACTACGATTAGTATAGAATCTTTGCTAGATTACTTTCTAGACTAGACTAGTCTAGACTACTTTGCTCACTGACTCTGAACAGATCGGATACTTTTGACTAGCAAAAATCCATCATTTACTTACTCCAGCTACAGCTTTATTTCATTGCTTTAGTCTAAAATTCTAAACGATATTTGAATCTTGAATCACGATCTTGAACAATTCAAAAACAAACCCAATTCAACGATTCTTTTCCTCGAAAATCCCCCTGAGAAACTGATTTGTTTGGAATGAATCGGAAAAGCTTTAGGGGAAAAGCTCGGCAAAGGAAATCTCTTTGTTTTTCGATCATTTTCAGTCATTTTCATTCATGTCTTTGTCTTTTTTTCAGAAATTATCCAAAAACCTAACTGAAAAATAAATAACATCGCGATCTTATTTTTCTTTTGTTCCCAAATTTGGCCCATAAATGTTTCAAAAAGATTAGGCTTTGTTTTTTCGAATTCCTTTAAGATGAGCATAACAAATACAGCTTATTCATAAAGAATCTCTTGATAAATTCAATTTATGACATTAGAGTGATATATTTAGATAAGATAAGGATGAAAGATGGCTACTTGTTTTAGCCAAATATCATTTGTTCCTTGACAATTCATTTCTCCATTTCTAAATCTGGAAAATCAAAAAATTGGCTCTTCAATTGGTTGAAGCTCTTCAAAATACTCTTCAAAATTGGTTTAGGTGACTTTTCAATTGACACTCAAACTTCAAAGGCTTATAACTTTCCGTAGAAAACTAAATAATATCGCGATTTGGCTCAAAAATGTTTCAAAAAGATTAGGCTTTGTTTTTTTTTCGGATTCCTTTAAGATGAGCATTACAAATACAGCTTATTCATAAAGAATCTCCTGATAAATTCAATTTATGAAATCAAAGCGATATGTTTTAAATTTTTTATGTTTAACGTCATAAAGATTTCAAATCAAAAAAAAAGCTGAGAATCTGGCAAAATACGTGAAAACTTGTTTTACTGAATCTAAAAGGATCAAGTTCATCAAAAGTTCAGCTCTTTTTACTTTTAGTTCCTACAAATTGTAGTTACAATTCAGTTACAGTTAGTCTAGGCAAAGCAGTCTAGGCAAAGCAGTCTAGGCAAAGCAGTCTAGGCAAAGCAGTCTAGGCAAAGCAGTCTAGGCAAAGCAGTCTAGGCAAAGCAGTCTAGGCAAAGCAGTCTAGGCAAAGCAGTCTAGGCAAAGCAGTTACAGTTAGTCTAGGCAACTCTAGGTTAAACAAATTCTAGGGCAAATCCCGGGCTCTAGAAACAGACCAAGCCGGCAAGAGCAAAATCAAAAGCCAGGTACCTTTTAGGCCAAACAAAGGTTTTAAAACATATCACCTGGATAACCAAATCTGAAAAAAAGCAATAAATGAAAATCTTTCTTACTTAAAGTGCTAAAGTTTCGAATTTTTTGAGAGGATCCAGTAAAAAAAATGGCTGAAAACCCTTTTATTAAACTCTTTGCACAAAAAGTTACCCTAAATTCTCAAAACGAATCAAACTAGGATCGTTTGTATCTAAAAATTTGAGACAAAAAGATAAGAATGAAAGAAAGAATGAAAAATGACTCTCTGCTACTTGTTTTAGCCAAATATCATTTCTTTCTCTACAATTCATTTCTCCATTTCGAAATCTGGAAAATCGAAAAATTCGCTCTTCCCAGATTTAGGTGAATTTTCAATTGACAGTCAAACTTCAAAGGCTTATAACTTTTCTTACAAATAACATTTGCATTTACTTTTTAGATATTTTAAGAGAAAAACTTCTGGCTTTAAAATGATTCCAAAAAGAATTCAATTGAAATGATCAATCTTGAGAAAATCAAATAACTTATACCGTCAGGATTCTACTTTGATTCTACCGATTCTGCTTTGATTTTCTCAAGATTGATCGTTTCAAATGAATTCTTTTTGGTATCATTTGAAAGCCAGAAGTTGTTTCTCTTAAAATATCTAAAAAGTAAATGCAAATGTTATTTGTAAGAAAAGTTATAAGCCTTTGAAGTTTGACTGTCAATTGAAAATTCACCTAAATCTGGGAAGAGCGAATTTTTCATTTTACGATGGGTTTCCAGATTTAGAAATAGAAATGAATTGTAAATTTCGGAAAATATGATAAGAAGATTTGAAATCTTTTCTATTTTCTGATCAAGGAAAAATTTGGGAATTTTTTTAAAGAAAAGAAGAAGAAGAAGAAGAAGAAGAAGAAGAAGAAAAACGGTGAGTAAACACGAGAATGACTCCATAAAAAATAAATCGTTTATTTTTCAATTATTTGGGGTCATTACTAAAAATAACTGTAAATGAGCAGAAAAATATGGGAATTCTCAATTAGTCGAATCATTTCGCTGTTTTCATTATCGCTTTTTAATTCCCCGTTTACACTTGCAAGGTCTTTTCCCTTATTTGTTCAAGATTATTGAGACTCGATTGATCTCAAGAGATCGCTTGATTGCTTAGATTTTGAGTTAAATACAAATTTGAATTTTCATTACGCATTTTAGTTCAAGAATATCATTTTTCCAGTATTTGATTATAATAAAAAACGAAATTCAATCTGTTCTCTGATCACTTTCTAGCTGTTCCGATGATCGTTAATACCGGGCGACATCTTTTTTGGAAAAGTCCCTGACAAAAGCTTGACCTATTACCAAAATACGAAGTGTTATATAGAAAAATAAAGCCCTTAATCTTGACTACATTTATCTATAAAGGACTTTCCGATTGGAATTATACAACTCATTTTACAAGCTCTTGAATGAGCTCAAGTCGGCCGTCTACACCGATCTGCCATTTTTGACACTTTTCTTAATAAGAAAAATTGTTTAAAGGTGTTCTCGATATTTATAAAATAATATTTAATAACATTTAATTGCAATAAGAATAATAGCAAACTCTTTTATGAAATTTTTATAGTCAAAATTGGGGTTCATTTCTAGGTTCATTTGAAAACCCCGCAAAAGAGGGAAAATTTAGCTTTTTCGAATATTTTGACAAGAAGATCTTCCTGTATATGCTTCTTTAACATTATATTTTTTTTTTATTTGATAATAGGTCAGGCATTTGTCAGGAACTTTTCCAAAAAAAGGTGTCACCATAATTCGCCACTCTGTATCAAAAGCTTTGCTTAGTATATATACTTTATCCGACAAGGAAAAGTGACAATGCAAACAGATTGAACAGCGTAGACGAAGAAAGATAATTGATATACAAACACAAATACAATTAGACACGTGTATATATGACATTAAAAACTAATTTAAAATTGACAGAGCTACAAGATCGAGCTTATAGATTGAGGATTTAAAATAGTTCAGAGACGAAAAAATATCACAAGGTAACTTATTCCAAATACGAGGAACACGACAAGCAAAAGAATGATACAGTTGGCGGTTACGAAAGCTCAGGAAAATTCCAAAAAAAAATCGATCCACCATCCTCGCCAATCACAAGCTCTAGTCATAAAGCGAGAAATCTCGAGAATTCACAGAAAAAAAAAATGAAACGAATTGTATATATGCTGTATATGCTTCTTTAACATTATATTTTTGTTTAATAATACTTTTAAAGTAAAATGCAAGTTTAATTGAAGGAATCTCTTTTTAGATGAGAATATTGTGTGTGTCAAAAGGTGTCAAAGATGGCAGATCGTCAGAGAAAAGCCGACTTGAGCTCATTCAAGAGCTTGTAAAATGAGTTGTATAATCCCAATCGAAAAGTTCTTTATAGATAAATGTAGCCAAGATTAAGGGCTTTATTTTTCTATATAACACTTCGTATTTTGGTAATAGGTCAAGCGTTTATCAGGAACTTTTCCAAAAAAAGGTGTCACCATAATTCGCCACTCTGTATCAAAAGCTTTGCTCATTGCTCAAGCTTTGCTCAAGATTTGCTCAAGGTTTGCTCAAGGTTTGCTCAAGGTTTGCTCAAGGTTTGCTCGAGCTTTGCTCAAGCATTGCTCAAGGTTTGCTGATTCTTGGAAAAGTTCTTACTAAGAATAAGTTGAAAAAACGTTGCCTCACAAATTGATGAAAGCTCTCCAGCTAGTAAAGCAGCTCGTAAAACAAACCCTCAGATAAAATTGGGTAATTTTAAACAATGAGTCAACAATCATTCATTGATAGTGATAATAAATAAAGAAGAAAAATTTTTCCAAAACTTAATCAGGGCGTTTCCCTGCTGCTATTCTCAAATCACAAATCTTTCGGTAGCTATTTTAAAATTCATTACCCTTTTTCCATCAAAACCCGGATTTTTTTTTGACTCATTTCCAGATAGCGACTAGGCGATGGTTTTGATTTTCTTTTTCTTTTTCTTTTTCTTTTTCTTTTTCTTTTTCTTTTTCAGTTTACACATGTGACTTCTTCAAGTATTTTTTTAAGGGTTTTTCTAATCAAACAATCATAATCATAAAGCACGTGTGGCTGACTGGTTAAGTGTCTCTTATCTTAATCGGAAGGTCGAGGGTTCGAACCCCACATGCGACATGGTCACCCCCTTCGGATTTCCTTTTCCTTCGGGTTGAGAGGTTTTCTGGAGGGCAGTCTGGTGGTTGTGGCCCCAGTTCTTTAAAGTGACAAGCCACTCCTTCATCGTCATCTTCCCTTCACCACCAAAAAAGCTATTTAGTTCCCCATTGAGCTTAGGGTTAGGGAGCCGTCTGTCATGACGTGGGTTAAGTTAAGATATAGCCTAGTATTGTGTGTGTCGTTGTATTGTGATTGATATATTTCGTGTATGCGATAAATTCACCACTGGTAGCCCCAGTCGGTATTTTTTTTTTTTTTTTAAACACTTGGAAAAACAATGCCTCAAATTATCCAAAAAAAACATTATTTTACACCCAGTTTTGTGAACGTCTGAAAATTTTTGAAAAACAAACACAATATGAAAAGAGAATGTAGTGTGGTGAAATGTTACGTGAAAAAAAAAGGCTAGTACTTTTTTCACTTTTTATTTTACGAAAATTTGACAAATTTTGCAAGCTTTCTGAATGATTTGGGATCGTTTTTCGAATGCTAAACTTCACAAAATCCGTAGGAAACTCGGATAAAAGCTAGAAATAAGATTACGATAGTTTTCAAAAGTTCACACTTTTGAGATTTGGCTTTAAAAGATCATAAAGACGTTTTAAAAAAAACTATCGTAGAAGAAAACTATCGTAGAAAACACGACCTCAGGATACACAGAGAATTTTGAGTTGAAAACTTCTTTTCCTATTCCTTTCAACCCTTTCTTCCACGAACACCCATCAATTTCCAGTCAATTTATGACCCTTTTAAAGCTGATTTCTGTTCAAAAATCGATCCACAATCCTCGCCAATCACAAGCTCTAGTCATAAAGCGAGAAATCTCGAGAATTCACAGAAAAAAATGAAAAGAATTTCCCAAAAATCACCACTGAACACTCAACTCCGAGAATCGTAAATGAAAAAAATTGTAAAAGCGCAACGAAATCTGTTGTTTCTCATGTAAAACATTGCATTTACGACCGACAGAAAGATATGGTCTGATTTCCGAGAAAAGTGATGCCAAAACAAAAAAAGTTTCTGTAACGAAACAATAGACAATCAGCTTTGAGGAAAGATTTTGTGGCCCAAATGTGCCCAAATGATGTGCATTTTATCCTCTTATGCCATATGCCTTGCGTTTACAAATTCTCATCGCACATTTCAGAAAATTCATAAATCGTTTCATAGATCCTTTCATAGATGTACAAATTGTTTATTCATTTCGAGAAATTTCGAAAAATCTCCTCAAAAGTTTTCCCTTTTGTCTCTGGAAGATATCGATAGAAATAGACGGCCGAGACGGTCAATGGTACGATAAATAAAAGAAAGGAAAGAGTTGGGGAATAAACGGATAATGGATAGTAGATCAATGGAGAAATGAAGCAAAAGATGTACTGGCAGAACACCTGAAAGAGCAACGAGTTGGTAGAAACGATTGGCTATACCCCAGGTTAGTTTCTTTTTTCTTTGTTAATTTCTTTTAGGTACGGATTTCAACGATTTCAAAACGATTTCAATTTCAAAGAAATGCGGATTTCAACATTTTCATAAATTTCCAACGATAGAAACCTAGAAATCGATGAATGTTATAAAGTATTTGAAAGTTGTAAATGAAAGTTGTGAATGAAATTTGTAAATCTCCTCTACAAAATAGGCTAAAACGTTTTTCAAATTGATCGAAGCATTGAAGAAATTTCGAGGCCGAAATGCGAGTGACCAAAAAAGGGCACTTTTTGAAAATCCCGCTTTCACAAGAGTTCGGTTTTGACTATATAGTGGAAAATGTCCTAAAATATCAATAAAAGCGCCCAAAAATATGATTCAAAATAATTAAGAGTTGGGATCATTTCATGGGAAAACTTTGTTTTTACAATAATTTTCCTTTTTTGTGAAAAAGCCGGTTTTTTGACAATTTTGAGGGTTTTAAACTTGTGCTCTATCTAAATTTCTGTAAATGCACTTCCGTTAGAATTTTTTTAATGAATTGATATACAGTTATCCTTTCTTTTTTTTTTAAATCTTCAATTTTGGGAAGCTAACTCTATTTTGACCACACGAAACTTTTCCCTTAAGTGAGTCAATTCCTTTTTTTGGTCACTCGCATTTCGGCCTCGAAATTTCTTCAATGCTTCGATCAATTGAAACACTTTTTAGCCTATTTTGTAGAGGAGATTTACAACTTTCAAATAGTTTATAAAATTCAGCGATAGGTTTTTACATCGAGCAGGTTTCTATCGTTGGAAATTTATGAAAATGTTGAAATCCGCATTTCTTATGCATTTACCTAACAAATTGAGCTATTTGAATTGAATAGCTACACTAAGTAGAGATGGGGAAAATTCTAAGCCGAATTCTAAATCCAGCTACGTTTTCTCAGCCATCTACACTACTGGACAATGAAATATTATATTTGAAAAACGATCGTCACTTTCGCGCGTCTGTAACTCCCTTTTCTTTACCGTCTTTCTAAATATTAATATTACCATTGTGTAGCCCTTGAAAAGAGCTTTCAGAAAATGTATAACACTAATAGTTTAAACTCAAAGACAACGGAGTTACAGACGCGCGAAAGTGACGATCGTTTTTCAAATATCATATTTCATTGTCCAGTACTGTACCTAATAAAATCAAACTGCTTGACCACTTTGGCTATTTTGATTATTTCTCTTCTCGAACTCACCGAAGCCGATTGAATTTTCGCTCTTGATGATGCTGGCGACAGCTCTGCCCCGAGAAACCACGCCGTTGGACCAACACCCGCACTGGAAATTTTCAATTTTCACAAATTTCAATTCCAAAAACCGATTTCTCACCTGAATGTGAACAAAAACATGACAAAAAGTAACAAAAACCCGTAAGCAATCTGTTTGTTTTGTGTTTGGTTGAAGAGCTAAACTTTTTTCTTTTGTTTTAGAAAACTAGGGATTTTTACAGCAACAAGGATCATCATCGACGTGTTGATAAAAGCCAACAATAACAGGGAGCCGATGACGAGAAATCGGCGACCAACCTGTAAAATTAGAAATTTCAATCCGCTTTTACAAAAGACTCTAAGTGAGTTACCCGATCGAGTCCAAAACTGCCGAAAATGGCGCCAAGCGTACCGGCGAATCCACTCAGCAAGTTGGCTAGGGCGGCTTGCGATGAACTGGAATGACAAATTGTTTAATCAATGTTTCTGATTTTTCGCTTGGTAGTTTTTTTTCTTTACTCAATCATATATACCGTATTCTTTCTAATAGTAGTGCGCACTACCATTTTTTGAACCTCCTCCTGGACCGCAATACTATTAAAGAGTGCACCTCTATTAGAGAGAATACGGTAATAAAGTTGATTGGCTTTTTCTTTCATAAAATGATTTAGCAGAATGTAAAGCAAAGAAAATTTACGTAAGTTTAAGGCAAGCATTTATCACAAAAGTTCGCGCCTAGTCGTGTCAAAAAAAGCAACCGGCTCGGCTTTTTTTCCTCTGGTCTCCACAAAAGGGAACAGCTATCTATCGGGACCATGGGCCAGATGACGAGCGATTGTACGCGCACACAAAGGCCACCTCGCTAGTCATTTTGGCCTTTTTACCTGAAACCTATCGATTCCAAGAGAAAAGTGCCGAAGAACGAAACAGCGGTGATGCCACTGAATGCAACAACACAATTTAGAGCACAGGAGAAGAGGAGAGCGCTGCGAGAAGCTCTAGAATCGTTTTGGCTCTCAATAAGAAATACAAGTGTGAAGACAAAATGACAGAACTAACAAACCCATCAACGAGAATCTCGCTCCATTTATCGGTTTTCTGTTGAAATTTCAGCACTCTTTTAAGCTTTTCGATTTCTTGATCAACATCGGATTCTGAAATAGAAATATTCTATTGAAAATTGTGATTTTGAAAGTAAGTACCTTTCGAATAGACTTTTAAGCTCTCCTTGGCCGCTTGATCTTTGCCGAAACGCAATAAATGAATCGGAGTCTCGTGGAAAAACGAAATGATTCCCAAGATTAGAAGCTGTAAATTTACAATTTTGAATTTTCGATATTTCGATATCTTTACAATATTTGGTATTCCTTCGATCAAAAAAGCGATCGGCCATTGTGTTTGCGTGCCAAGAATCACCGGTAAACCGAGAAAATTCGCGAAAATGAAGCCGATGTTGATCGAGAAACCGCCGAATGAGCTGATGATGCCACGGAATTTCACTGAAAATTTTCGACGTAAATCCTGTCTCGTAAAGTTTTTCGATAGAATTTTCTTTCACTTTTTCATCTTTCACTTTCACCTGAACTAATCTCGATCAAAAAAATGCCGTGTGCTGTCATTCCAATTCCAATCCCGATCCCCGAACAGAAGCGGCCAAGAATGAAAAACTCTGGGATTTCGATGAACGATGAGATCCCGCAAAGAGGAGCTGAGATCAAGAGCCACTAAAACTTTCAGTCGTTACAGATATTCCTACCGTAAATACTGTAATAGTACCCCACTCCCCTCGTACAGTCGCGTAGTCGCACAGGTTTTTAGTATTTCATTTTTTGCAAAGCACCCGTACTTTCAAAAAATGCGTCTTTGGTATCAAAAAATAGCCCTGAATTTCAGCTATTTTTTGATACCTAAGCGTGCATTGTAGCATAAACCAGTGTCGAGAAAAACGCGTCCAAAGCTAGACTACGCAACGTTCCGCACCGTCATTATGGGGGGTGGGGTACTATTACAGTATTTACGGTAGTTAATTTTCCAGCTAACTGCTAGCCTTTACAGTGAAATCATTGACACTCACAATAGCTGAATAGAGTAGAGCTTTCACTGGGCCTTTTCTCGAAATGATCGCACTTGAGCCAAGCGCACCCAATGCGGCTCCAATAAAGAGCATGCCCGCTGTCGATGACCAAATCCACGAAATCTCAGTTTTTTCAAGAGAAAAACCATATTTTCTGAAAAATTTATTGAAAATTTGTCTTATCTAAATCATTAAAACCCACTTTGACAACGATGTTGCTAGGTATTCTTGTAGAATTTGATTCATCGGATTGATGATTCCCATTTGAAAACCGAAATGAAAACCGCCACCGAAAACGGCGAGAAATGCGACGATAAGGAGACGAAAAGAAGGCAATGAGGGATGGGGATCATTTTCTAAAACCATTTTCTAAAACCATTTTCTAAAGCCATTTTCTAAAACCATTTTCTAAAAATATCTATTTATTTAATAACAAATCTATAGATACAATTTCGATGTTCTATCGCAAACATTCGCTCTTTTTAAATACAAAGTTAAACGTTGAAAGTTGAAAGTTGAAAGTAAACGTTGAAATCGCCCAAAAAGTCGCCAAAAATTACCAATAAAGCAAATACTTTCAGTCATTTCATTAGTAAATTTTGTAGATTTGTAGATTTGTGAATAAAAAATGTTTTCCGCTAAAGTCGGCTTTTTCCCCCGGCTCATCGATTTTACTCTTTTAGAAGCAGAGCAAAAGAAGAAGAGATTCAAAAAGAAGAGTCTTTATGGAGTAAAAGAATTTTGAATTTTAAAAGAGAAAATGACTCGGAAGTTTCCCCCAAAGAGAGCTTTAGCATTTTTGGATTTTGGATTTTGAATTTTTAACCAGAACAAACCACATTTTTTCAATGAAAGTGAGCCACTTTCCGCAATCGAGTAAACCCTCATTGTGCGTAATGCTAAAAGTCTGAAAGTAGTTTAAAAAATGACATTAAAAAGCAATGGTACTCATTGTCAAATTTGAAAAATAAAGTGCCAATCAAGGCTCTTGTCTGGCTCGAAAAAAAAGGATCAATGGAACTCTGATCCTAATTCCATCTCATTCTGGATTCCATCTCATTCTGGCAAAACATTGCTTTAAAAAGTCTATTGATTCTAAACAATCTTGTCCCCACCCACCCGAACTAACATTCCCGGCTGAGGTTTCCATTTTTAGCCTTGCCCTTTGGCACCATTTTTAAATGAAAATTTTCGAACTGCCTCATGTACAGGAGGGTGATGTACATCATGTACAGGAGGGTGATGTACAGGAAGGTCATGTACAGGAAGGTCATGTACATCATGTACAGGAGGGTCATGTACAGGAAGGTCAGGTACAGGAGGGTCATGTACAAGAGGGTCATGTACAGGAAGGTCATGTACATCATGTACAGGAGGGTCATGTACAGGAAGGTCATGTACAGGAGGGCCATGTACAGGAAGGTCAGGTACAGGAGGGTCATGTACAAGAGGGTCATGTACAAGAGGGTCATGTACAGGAAGGTCATGTACATCATGTACAAGAGGGTCATGTACAGGAAGGTCATGTACATCATGTACAGGAAGGTCATGTACATCATGTACAGGAAGGTCATGTACATCATGTACAGGAGGGTCATCTTTAAATCTAGGCATCTATTTTTAAATTTCATTCCCAAAACAATAAACAAAAAAAAATCAGAAAATCAGCTGACATTCTACTACGTGCTGGCTAGTATCCGGACTCAAAAAAATAGCCGAGAAATATCAACAACAAGATAGAGAAATCTCTGCAAATTGGAAATGATTAGCATTACATGAAATTGATCGGGAACAGGTTTATTCCAGTGAGTCGCTTTTTCCCTCACTTTTCATCTATCACTGTTTCCTGGGAAATTTTGTGTGGATGATGCTTCTTTTCTTTTCTTCTCTCCCAAACTGCGACTTTTCTTTTCTTCCTTTTCGATTTTTTTAAATCTAACAACACAACAAAGAAAAATACGATTGTTTGAGGTTTTTCCCACACTGCAAACACAATTTTTTTTTGGCTGACAATAGTGTTTCCTTGTGAGCGGAAAACTGGGAAAATTTCAATCCAATTCGAAAAAAAATTTACTTTCGTCACAAAGAATCACAAAGAAGAGGTCAATGAACCTTGATTATTGAAGAAAAAATACTGTCAACTAATGAAAATACAAGCATATTCAATTATAATATAAGCGCATTTGATTACACAAAATATTTAAGCTCGATTTCTTTTTCAAAATTAACATAGCTCTTGAATCCTGGAGAAATTTAGATCTTGGTGAAAAGATTTTCTCTATCTCTGTCTTCATAAGAAAATCCTTCGGGAGATGTTTGAGCTTCCAGCATCATTCACAACATTCACAGCATCAAAGTAACCAAACTTCACAAATCATTCACAGCATCAAAGTAACCAAACTTAGTGAAATATCAATGCCTTGCCATTTCTTCGTTTGCGATTAATTAGCCACAGACCAAAACACACACACACACACACACCAAAACCACAGACCAAAAGTCGACCAAAACACTCAACGTGCCGAGGGTTCTCCAGAAACAGAAGTTTGAATCTCTCAAACATTTAAAAAAAAAAATAGATTCCCCCCAAAAACCAGTTTAAATCCCAAAAAAGGTTGAACCCCCCAAACATAGCCCCCTTTTTCGTTTTAAACCAAACAATAAAAATCTAGTATAAAAAACAGTCTAAATTTTATAAAAAAGAAGAGAGTATGAAGATCTGTTTCGGTTGCAGGCAGTTACGTTCAAAAAAAACCGAGTTGGAACTAGAACAGATCAACGCCGGGACTTGAGCCCGCGAATTTTCGCTTACTCGACAACTGTGCTAGCCATTACACCAAAAATCACTTCTTTCCCATACTCCAGAGGGAGTTAACTACCGTGTGCGGGTAATTTCGCGCCATTCTGTATATTTCTGTAGCTTTTGAATGTTGGTTAATATGGATCTTTTTGAGGTGCGAACTTGGTTTGCTTTTTTCAGAAAAACCGATCTTGTAGGGTTTTGTTTTGTCTACAACATTCCTGGAACATCGTGCTGAACTCGACGACAACGGAGAATTACGGTAAGCGTGTACTTTTCTCCAAAAGCATCATCTTGACGTCACTTCGCCGATCGGGGAATCCTCACAAAGGCTTTTGGTTCCTTGATCTCGTGAGCTGTCTTCCTAAAATCAACTTGCCAAAAAATCAGATCAAAATTGCATCACTCAAAGTTCTTTTTTTTGGAATATATTTTGCCTGCTTGAAATGTTTATTGAAACATTTATTTTGGCACATTTTCTTTGAGAAAAGCAATAATTCCCCAGCGATTTTTGAGCCAGAACTCTGCGCTTACTGTTCAACGAAACGATTTTCGTTTTTTCTTTTCGTTGAAATTTCAGAAAATGAAAACTTGAAAACTGTAAAGTCCAGTTAATTATAGACTTTTTGGGGGAAAATCAAAAAGTTCGTAGTACAAAAGTTTCTTCGGAAATTCCCTCAGGTGACTCTGCCTGTGCCCAAAAAAAGCGTGCTCAATTAGAATTTCCTGAATTGAGATTTCCTTGTAAATTTCGAAAAATTTATTATTCTAATCTTTTCATTTTCTTTTTCCAGTATATTAAAATAGATTTATGTACAATAATACTCAAATTTCAAGAAGTCAAATTAGTTAAAGGGTTACTAAGGAAAGTTAGTGTTAAATTGTAGGGAAATGGGATCCAATTTGATAGAATAAGACTTTTTATGAGATCAATCCAATATCTTAAAGGGGTAGTCCAGTCTAGGGAAAGTTTGTGTTAAATTGTAGGGAAATAGGCTCCAATTTGATAGAATAAGACTTTTTATGGGATCAATTCTATATCTTAAAGGGATACTCCAGTCTAGGGAAAGTCAGTGTTAAATTGGGTACCTGTTTTTCGTCTTTTACCTCTTCTTAAGTCTGATTTTCACCTTCTTTTTCAAATTATTCTTTTAGAATATAATGTTTTCTATTAAAAAACAAAAAAAAATATTTAAGATTGCCATTAAATTTGAGAAAATACATGCAAAAGAAAAGAAAGCAAGTGCTAAAATCGATTTAGACGGGGCCTTTATATACAGTACTGGACAATGAAATATGATATTTGAAAAACGATCGTCACTTTCGCGCGTCTGTAACTCCCTTGTCTTTGAGTTTAAACTATTAGTGTTATACATTTCCTGAAAGCTCTTTTCAAGGGCTACACAATGGTAATATTAATATTTAGAAATACGGTAAAGACAAGGGAGTTACAGACGCGCGAAAGTGACGATCATTTTTCAAATATCATATTTCATTGTCCAGTAGTGTACCTTTTGCCCAAATATCCACGTTTTAGGGTGAGAGGGAAAGCCAAAATTGTGTTTTTCTTCGTTTCTCGTTTCGAAACCTTGTTTTTCATCTAGGAAATAGTTGTAGAGAAGACGAAAAACGCATCGAATAATATATAAATGACCAAGGTTCTTGAAAGACAACTTTAACTTTTTCAAAAATCATTCCAAGCATATTACTAGACCAAATAACTCAATTTGATGAATTTCAACTGTCTTATACGGAAAATATCTACCGTATTTTCTCTAATAGTAGTGCACCCTGAGCGTCGCCTAAATTCCTCGAAATCTCGAGAACCGTCTATCAGAATCTATCGATGTGGGGTCGGAAAATGTAGCTGACGATGAGATCTAGTGGGGGATTTGAGTGTTGAGCTTCTGGGAAAGCTTGGAAACCGTAAGAATAGCTCGCAATCATCTTGAGAAACTGAGTCTTCTCTGAGTTTTTTTCTACAATCGAAATTCAAATACCGTATTTTCTCTAATAGTAGTACACCCTAAGCTTTGCCTAAATTGCTCGAAATCTCGAGAACCGCTTATCAGAACCTATCAATGTGGGGTCGGAAAATGTAGCTGCCGATGAGTTCTAGTGGGGGATTTGAGTGTTGAGCTTCTGGAAAAACTTTGGAAGCCGTAAAATAGTGATCAACTCGGTTCACCGGGAAATATTAGGGAAATAGGTCAGTCTGATCTACTAGCCTAACCTGGAATAATATACCGTTTTCTGTCTAATAGTAGTACACCCTAAGCTTTGCCCAAATTTCTTGAAATCTCGAGAACCGTCTATCAGAATCTATCGATGTGGGGTCGGAAAATGTAGCTGACGATGAGATCTAGTGGGGGATTTGAGTGTTGAGCTTCTGGGAAAGCTTGGAAACCGTAAGATAGTCACCAACTCGGCTCGCCGGCGTGCACTACTATTAGAGAAAATACGG